TTCGCTAAAGAAGGGGGCTTTTTATTATTAGCATATATATTTTCCTCGAACAGTTTATTTTTGCTTCGTTTTCTTGTTTTCGGTTCATGTCCTCACGCCACCAATGAATTATTCATGAGCGGTTTGGGCGGTGGCGGCTTCCTCGGACGCTCCGGCATGGGCGCCCTCCGCACGCTCTCGTACTTGGGTGGGAATGTCAAAAAGAGCGTCGTACGCAGTGAGACAAACACGACGGACCAAAGAATGATGACGCGAAACCACGCTTGGACCAAAGCTTCATTCCCTGCAAATGGGTTACGACGGGGATCCTTCGATGCCGCCTCTTCTGCATCGTCATCATCCTCAAAGGGTCTTTTCTTAACCTTCCCTGTGTGCATCTCCTCGTAAAACTCGTCGTAACTAACTTTGCTCTTGTGCTGACGTGTTGTAAAACGGAAATTGCTGTAACGATTGCCACCATCAGAACCTCCACGGGCATCCGTGGAGCCTCCATCGGCATCCCGCCTAATCCAAATACCGCTCTTTACTTGATCGTAGGCCTCCTGAATCTCCTGAAACTTCTCATGTGAGCCGCCCGGTGCGTCCGGGTGGTGTTTGCGGGCAAGCACGCGGTAAGCTTTTTTGATTTCCTCCTTCGTTGCGCCTTGCTTGATGCCAAGTACTGCGTATGGGTTGGTGCTAGCGCTGGCAAACCGTGCCTGGAAAAGCATGGCCGTTGCGCCAGCTGCCGCCTGCGTGGAGAAAGACGACGCCAATGTACGATGGGCCCCGCCTACAAGGAGAGCACGTGAACCATGCCACATTGTTGGTAATAAAAAAACAAACCAACTCCGTTAAAACACACTTTGTATCTGTGTATTCCTTTGATCCTCCTTCGTTACCTCTTCCTCAATGAATGTTTTACTTTCCCTCTCTTCGGTTAGATGTCCACTCGGCGTGAGTGTGCGTGTAGCCTAACGACGTATGTATGTGTAGTGATGGTTGTGTCACACACACACACACCGGAGCGGAAAAATACACACCTCAAATGCCAGAGAGAGAAATATATATATATAAATACGATTTAAAGTATAAAAGAAGGAAAACAAAACACACTCACACCAAAGAATATAATCACAGTGAGAATGAATTGATTGATTGACTTCGAAGTTTCCTGTAAACCTCTTTTTTCCCTTTCCTTCTCTTGTCTGTGTGCGGGATAGAAATATCACAACTAATACAAATAAATACAGGAAAGAAGAATACAAAAACAGAAGGAAACATAAACTGTAACGCCAATAGACATGCGCACTCTCACTCACAGTGCCGGAAAATATTTCCATGCTCACCAAAATAATAATAATAATAATAATAAAAGACCAATATAAAACCCGAGACGTAATTCCCCCCTGCTTCCAAGGCATATATATGTATGTGTATATTTGTGTGTATATTTTTCAATTTTTCCTCCTTGTATCCCTTTCGTAAGTAACACGTGCGCGCATGTACCTGCAGCACCGCGTAGATGTGTACGATGATATTTACGGCTCCAATTCCAATTTTTTTCTGGATAAATGGTGCTGAGCACAAGTAGCAGCCTCATTCACCCATTTTCACATAATACCGCATCGTCACTGAAAAGAACTTTTTTTTTTTTAGAAACGGCATCCGTCTTTTTATTTTACATGCAAAGCAACAAAGCAAAAAAACAACGAAAAAGAGGCAGAAGAACGAAACAGTAAAATGCGCACGATCACGCAGAATAAAAAAAAAAAAAAAAAAGTGCTCTCCAACATCCGCAAGTAAATAAAAATATATATGAACGAGATGCCAGTGATAAAAAGATATTCTTACGCATGCATGCATGCATGCATGCAAAAAAAAATAATCGTCACTGTGCATTTTGCTGACGATGTTTTCCACACTTGGAACAGAACTTCACTTGCGCAGAACGAAATATCGCCCCGCAGCCCGTGCAGTGTTGTGGCAGCAGCGGCGTTGGCTCTGATGTGGGGCACAATTTTGGTAGTGAGATCCGCTGCAGTGTATTGCGCTTGTCACAAGAAGACGGTTCGTTTGTCTCCAGTGCGGGGTTGCGAGGCGGGGCTGTGAGTGCCCCGCCGCCGGTTGGGTCGTCAAACACCAATTCCCGCGCAGACCAGTCGAGAGCCATCAGGGGAAAAAATGCTTCACGTACAGGCAAACCCTTCTTGAGACGGTCCTGCTCCAACTCAAAAACCGTCGAATGGGTCTCGCCATCGCGGTCACACACGGCACACAAAAAATGACTCGTAAACCCACCACAACCGCACTCCTTACAGTGACGCTTTTGTGGATCATGCTGCTTATGCCCATGACCGCAACGACACTTGGCGGACCACTTTAATGGGTCCCAACTACGTCTTCGCGACAGCCATCCCTCCCCAATCTCCTCTGGTTCGTTTGGCACGTAGTTAAAACCGCCACATGCGCATGCTTGACATCGGGGTGCCGGCACGCAACCCCGTGACGGTTTCAGCGTAGCGTGCTCTTCAAGTGAATGCCCACAAAAGCAACGATGCTGGTACCCAATCCGTGCACAGAAGTCCGTATTAGCCCCTGACAATTTGGGCTCCTCACATCGCCAGACAGCATAGACACCAGTCTTTAAGGCCAGCATTGCAGCCTCATTCTCCCGGTTAAGAATCTTCTTGGATTGTGCGGATGGGCCAAAGCGACGGATGCCCTGAAGAACTTGGCCTTCTGAAGTGGCATTTTTCTGAAAATTTCCCTCAATAACCCCTTTTACCCGTTTAGAGAGATCACGTATCTCTTCATGTACCTCGTGACTATCAACTACCATGCCGTACGACTCAGGCGCACTCCGTACGACGGTTCCGTGTGAAGGCGTTGCCGTCAGCTGCTGCTGGGGACGACTGCGACATGGTCCCACCACCTCAGCGGCGCTGCCACGCGCAGCGGACCTCCGCATCGGAATAAAAACAACAATAGGGACAACAAAACAATGAATGGCTCCCGAGCAAAAAAAAAAAAAAAAAAAGAAAAGGATAAAAAAGGACTACACACAAAATCAATTTAAAAGAAAACTTTTAACTAATTGTGCTACCGAATCCACGAGAGAACGTCCAAAAAGCCCCCCACAACCCCGCAAAAAAAAAAAAAAAAGAAAAGCGGCAAATAAGAGAAAATAAACGAATCTCAGATACGTTTGCAGAAGCACACACCATGTATCCACTCGCCCATCTTCTCCCCTCCCACAACTCCCCAGTGAGAAACAGATATTTATATTTATATAACTTAGACTCCAAGAAAACACATTCATTCATTCATCCTCTTTTCCCTCTCTCTCCCTCTCTCTCATGGCAAGATAATTTTAGCGTCACAACGGCAACCATTGACGCCCTGTCGCATCAAAGAGCCTCATTCTCAACGTTAATGCGCGCCACCTCCAGACACTTTGAAAGTGAAATTCCTTTCATCAACTGCCAGGTAACAGCGCATGCGCACAGCTTTGTGACAACATCCGCGTCTCTGATGTCGTGATATCCTTGAATGGCTCCCTCAGTAGAGGTGTTATGCCTCTCCTCCGAAGAATTGATTGACAACGCCGTTGGAAGATCAACAACAGAATTAAACATTGCAAGAGGAAGGAGTAGACTGCTGGTGAATTGAGCCGCAACACAGAGCGCAACAATCTGATATGGATTCATCGACATGGCCAGGAGCGCATCTCGCACCTTAAGTGTGGCGCCTATGGGAATGTGTGGATGACCAATGCCCACAATTCGTGGCACTTCCACATTAAAGGCACGTGAAAACCAATCCGCAATGGGTCCAATGACACGATCCTGCTCTTCCGCAATGGGGGCAGCACGGAAGTAAATGTTATCATTCTGATAAAAAGACATCAAATAGTCCACACGCGGCGCAATCATCTGAGGGGAAACAGTTAGTGCTCCACTGCACATGTCCGTCATAGGCATCAAGAGCTTGTTCAAATACCCAGACTGCTCCGCATACTCTTGTGCACAACAGTATGCCATTGCCTCATTCGGAATTGCAAGAACATGCGTGGACTCAAATGCCTTTACTTTACGTCCATCTACCAGGACAGTATACCACCCCTCGTGACCATCGAGAGGTCCTACATTCACATCCTTCCAAAAGACACGCACAGCGGCTCGAGAGCGGTCTCGCATTGACACATCCATTTGATACAATGAGTCCTCCGTGAGTACGCGGCTCTCCTCCTCTTCCTGCTTCTCTAGGCGATCATAAAGCTCTTGAAGTTGCCGTGGGTTCATATTCGACCACTCTTCCAATTTGCGTTCCAGCTCGGCTGTTGAGAGCTCTGCATGAGCCCCAGGATCTCGAGGGACACGATCAAGAAGGGAAGAAGCGTCTATATTACAGGATATACGTCGCTTTGTTTTTTTCGGCGCGATGGTGGGTCCACTTGCAGTCCCATTGTTGCTGCTGCAACCGGAGTTTCCAGATGAGGAAAGAGACGAACAGCAGCGTGTCCCGCTCAAAAGTACAGACAAAAAATACGGTAAAGAAGAAAAAAGTGGCACCACAAACTTGCGCATGGTGCACTATTTTTTCCCCCCTCTACTTTCCTTGTTGCTTTGCTCTTATCTTGCCTCTCGCTATGGCTGGAGTGCGTGCCGACGTATGCGTGTGTCGTCTACTCCCCGTGTGTGCAGCGCCCAGGATAGAGGGCAGTCGATGTGAATCAACTGCAGGGTTGTGACCACGCCACCCAAAACAAGAAGAAACAGCAACAAAAAGGATATGTAAAAAAAAAAAAAACATGGGAGTTTCATCTACACAACAAAATGTTATAAACAATAACAGAAATAAACTGGAAAACAACACCAAGGGAACACAGATAAGGAAAAGCCAGCACTCAAAAACCGAGTCGCCCACAGATATTATGGCAATTCACTTAGTTCATGAAGAATCTCAATGTTTTGTTTCTTTAGCGCTGCATGCTGCCAAGTCCACGACGACTCTTCGTCCTACAGCAGGTCATATTGTACATCCACTGGAACGGGATCCTGTTTGCGATCACAAAAAAACTCCTCCAATTTCCATTTATGAATAGCCTTCGGATCATTCACTGCATCAAAGTGTGACGGCACCGACCTCGGAGGAGGAAGACTCGCACGTTCTTCACCATAATTGAAGTTGTACCACGACATCTGCAGAGCTGTCGTCTCGTTGGGTCCGACTTCACACTTTGCATGCTCCAGAAGTTTCAAAGATTCAAGTGACCAGCGTGAGATAACCGTCAACCCTGTCAATGGATCCAAATGATGCGAATAACTCTCCAATGTCGCATCCGATGAGGTGAGGCAGATCACATTGGGTGCTTTAATTTCAAGGCACATAGACAATGCGCGGCATGTGTCCAGCATAAAAACCACCTTACGATACCGTCGTTGCTCCCACATCATCATGAGTGTATCCGCGATATCCATGGAGCTCAAAAATTCCGAGTCTTGAAATTTAAAAAAACTCTCTGCGGCGTGACCGGCCGCGTAAATCAAGATATGAGAGTTTTCATCCGTGTTGAGGCGCCGCGAAGGCGGAGTATAGGCATCATAGCGTCCCTGCAGAACACCAAGAAAGCGACGCACATCCACATCGTATCCGGCATAGTCTATTTCAACGCTGCAGCCATACAAGTTTATTCGATCGGGGCCTGAAAGAGTGCTGTAAATGGCAGCCGGGTAGGGATTGCGTGGGTCACAGGCATAGCTGTCACCAACTAAGAGAATGATATGGTCGTCGTCTATTCCATGCTTGCGGCAGAGATGATAAATTGTCAGCGCATTGGAGGTGTGGCGTATATTAAAGAAGTAGCGTGAGGAAGACAAAATGACAGCCCACAAGTTTGTCTTTGTTTTGTTGCTGCTGGCGATGACGGTGTCGACTGTTGTCAGCAGAAAAAAAAGGATGCAACAGCACCACAAAACCCCCATCTGACGCTTCATCTTAAAATGAGGCTAGAAACTCTCCTATGATGTCGTCTTTGTGCGAGTGCGTGCCTCTGAAAAACTTTGCCTTCTGTTACTCGTCCTTTCCACGGCATAAAAAAACTCAAAAGAAACAAAAAGAAGGAAAAAAAAACGGAAAGAGGGACACATCCACACACACACACACACACACACACACACGCACATACACTTACGCATGGGTGAAAAATAGCAGGTGACAAGCACAAAAAAACCAAACAACAGGAGAATTGGGCTTTCCCACACCGCTAGAAGAAGCGGATTTCGCAACAGGCAAGCAGTGAAAAAAAAAAACATTACTGATTTCAATGGTAAATAAAAATACATTAAGGCAGAAATGGCTCATACGACGGAAACAACTAACGTCACCCGTTTAGAATACATCCGCAGCATCCTTTATGGAAGACTCCAAAAAAGTCCGTAAAGGGCTTCACCTCCTCGTTATCCCTCGCAGCCACCCTCACTCCCCATTCCTCTCGTCATGTCAACAATCTCTCACTGCTGTCCATCTGCTGCAGTCGTGGTGGCATCCGCATATGGGAAATGGGAATTTCAAGCTCATTCGCACAGCCTAAAAACGATTGTGTTACGCCGCCACCTTTAGCATCTCCGCGACACGCAGGGCCCACCGGGCCATTTTTCCAAATCAAGTCAAAGCCACCCACGCGGATTTCATCTCCCGTACGGCGTTTCTCAATATCAATAACGCTGAACATGTCCTCTAGCATGTTAAACTTCAAGTGGTAATCTGCGGGTGTCTCAGCAGAAAGCGAAGGAGAAGCGTTTGTTTCAATAAGCCAGGGATGCAAATCATTATCCACCATAATATCATATCCGTAGAGCTCAAAGCAATGTTTATCTTGCACAATAATTTTTTGCACAGCATGCAATGAACGCAAAATCATGTTCTGTATATCGTCAAACAGCTTCTGTGCCGTCTCTACCCCACGCGACGCGGTAATGTACTGTCGAAGGTTGCGAAGTCCATACTTGCAGCCCGATGACGGTGTATATTTGGGATTTGTTTTTTGAACGGCAACATTCGTGACATGAATAAATGTGTTTTCGATATCCCTTAAAGAAAACCGTTGATGACAAAAGCGTGCAAATCCTGTGCGATGCAGCCACACCGTGAGGGGAGAGTAGCACGTCACAAGAACATACACACGCAGGTCATACTTTTTCCCACCCACCAGGTGCGGGTTTTCGATATAGCGCTGCGCTAAATAGGGTTCCACCTGCTCGGCCCCGTACGGACCGCCCGCCTTTTCCCCCACTGCTCCGACCTGTCGTTGTTTGTAGTCCTTCCGCCACTCCGCAATCTGTGAGATCTTTGAAAAGAGAAATATGCCTTTTCCCTGCGCCTTCGCCGGCGGCTTCATAATCCAAATCGCATTTGGTTGACGGCGAAATTCCGTCTCAAACATGCCGTAGTCCTGCGGCAGCGAGAAGGTGACGGGAAAAAAGTCAAACTCCGTCGCCTCCTCCAAACGCCCCTCCCGTTCGAGGCTTTTTCGCATGCGCTTCAAGTTTTTCACCATAAAATCCTTCCGTGTCAGTTCAAAGTGATTGCGGAAGTGGTTGATTCGCTGCACGTCGTCCAGCCGCACATGATCGTGCACCTCGCGGATCCACCCCACGTCAGCCCAAAACAAATCCCAGCCAAGGTCGCTGTCGGTCTCGAGCCACCCGCGACTGCGCATCACATCAAGAACGGTGTTGCGCAGAAATGTTCTAAAGCGTACGGGCCCCACACGACCGCGTCGCTCCCCTGAAGGCATTGCAGCACGCTGTGGCCGCAGAAATGGGAATAAAAAAAAACGTGTGAAAAGTGACCACCCGCTCCCTGTTGTCGTTTTTGTGTTGCCGCCGCAAAGGACACACACACACAAAAAAAAAAAAAAGAATGACAGAAAGTACGGAGGAAACAGAAATAACAATAATAATAATAATAATAATAATAATAATAATAATAATAATAATAATAATAATAATAATAAATGGCAATGCCTGCAAAGGCCCACAAGATAACAGACAAAAAAAAACTACTACAAAAAAAGGAAGGATGCTTCTTTTTTTTTTTTTTCGACACGCATGTGGGCTATTCCAAAGTGTTCCTTTTACTCGTCCTCCATTCTCGTTATTGTTGTTGTCGTCGTTGTGGCCTTTGCCGCTGTCCTTTCTTTTTTCTTCTTCTTCTTGGCACTTTTAACTTCATCTTTACCTCCTTTTCCCCCCCCCCCCCCTGACGCTGAAGGTGTTCCTCGTGTCATCTCTCCCTCCTCTTTGTCGCGCCACTTTCCCCCACACCCCGCCCCCTTCTCTTAGCCTCCAAAGCCGAAAGGACGGACTGAGGGGAACGTCGCAGTGAGTGAAATGGATCCGCGACACCACCACCAAAAAAAACAAAAAAACAAAACAAATCTTTTTCCTTGCTTGACGAGCGGTTTCTTTTAACGGCACTCACCACGCGGAGAGGGTTTGAACTTTCGATTCCCTGCCGAACACCGTGGTGTAAGACGCGGGCGCATCTTCGTTACCAGAACAAATGACTGTAAATAAATGGCGAAGACGGACACGGTGGTACGCAGTGCAGAAGTCCAGCAGTTTTTCCATCCTCTCAGTGCACACAACACCACAAAATTGGATGCACTTCGTCAGCAACTTAATACATAAACCAATTTCCCTTAGTTCCATATATGGAGAAACTGTAATATGAACCGCCAATTCCTCAAAAAGGTCACCAATGGTTTTATCTTCTACAAACGAGCTGCCATGCGCAGAAGTATTTTCCAACAAAGTAAAAAACGCATCCACCGCACAAATGATAGCTGGCATAAATGAGTAGCGCAAACAATTCACAAAATACTTCAACAACCGTTTCCACACAAAGTGGGTGTCCAAAAATTCTTTTATCTCAATCCCAAGATTTCCACTTGACAAAAAAGTCTTCATAAGCGCATTAAACACCCGTTCACGAGAATTCTTGTGCGCCATCACCAATTCGGCAGGTACGGAAAAAAGAAGCGAGAGAAAACCTCCGTATAAAAAAATAAAATCTTTACTGTAAAACAATGCGACACCCAAGTTGCACCATTCACCACTAATCATACTGTAAATAATGTCTGCAACATCATACACATAAATCTCACTCACCACACCCGGCGGGATTTCTTCTATTGATCCCTTCCAGTTTGAGCTTGACAAACCCAGTGTGTGCATGACACCATGTACGGCACGGAAAGCAAAGCCAACCAACCCCCAACGTGTTTCACATTTGTTATCTTCCACAAATAAACGTGTTGCCAAGTTACAGAGTTTGGCACATAACCGCAGCAATAAGGGTGCGTTTGCAGGTAAAGCCCGAAGCAGATCCTCTATTTCCTGACTCCGTTTGAGTAGAGCATCCAGCAAGCAATAAAGGCTTTCCACCTGATTGATGCCATCCGCAATAGCACACAAGTCATAAAAAACTGAATGAGGATCCGCCGTTAAACGATCCACATCCAATGATCGGGTGACGATACAAGAGATAAGGTCCAACGTTGGGAATCCCGCATAATGACGGCACTCAGTAAAGGATGTCAGGGTGCTAAGCATTCTAGAGCGGGCCTTTCTCCCCTCATCAGTAAGTTTATCGCTAGTGATACGGAGGAGCTCAATTCGTTCCTCCTTCATCGCCATAAGAATGGAGAACATCTTTTCCGATGACAAAAAAAAACCGCATACACCCTGCATTAGCACCCTATTAAGTAGGAGGTTTGCATCATGGGTAAGACATGCCTTTTCGCTGTGGTGTAAGTAAACGTAACATAACAAGCTGATCATGATTTCATAAAATTCACTAGAGGGCTCAGAAAAAGACTCATATAGACACACACAGAAAAAAAAGAGGGCACGTAATATGCCCAAGTGAACTTTACCTCCTCCTGTCGTTGAAGAAAGTTGAGAATCATCATCCTCTACATCTACCAGAGAAAGACTCGTTAAAAGAGCGCTGGTCAATGTACCATCCACAGAGAGCAACTCACGCGCAAACCGAGCTAGAATTCCAACCAATTCATCGCTTTGATGTGCTGCGTTATTTAACACGGCAATCGCCACGGTAGAAATAATGACGGAAAGCCGCGATAAGCAGACATGCATAAGAAAAAGGGGTGCATCCAATGCAGTGAGGGTAGGAAATACGGCCTGCACATTCACTGCAAGAGACAACAAGAGATCACCCATCCCATCCGAATCACCGGTCTCCCGGATACGCACGCACAACTCATACTGCTCAATAGTACTTCGCAACCGCTGTGCAACAATGCCGTAGATGTCAATTTTCTCGCAAAACAGCATTTCGGCAATAGGCAAAAGGGTCTTTTCGTTGTGTAACATAATACCCAAATCGGAGCGTGCTTCGTAGGAATCCTCAGCAAGGTGTGCTTTGGCAACAACATTGTCAAAGTAACACCGGGATACTTGCATAATGCTTCTCATGATCGGCATTTCCCGTGTATTCTCACCTTCTCCCGCCAAACAAGGAATGACACGATCACCAAGGAGGAAAAACAAATGCATAAGTTCCTGGCGAAGCTCTTCTTCACCATCCTCCCATCTTTCCAGCACACCAATGACCGCCTCTTCCCACTGCTCAATAAGATATGGGCGATTCAACAAATAATTTGAAACCCTGCCTTCGTCGCGGTCAGATACGTTTACAAGAACTGCACAGCCTAATTGTAACAGTTGCGGCAATCCACTGGACTTATACAGAGAAGGTAATCTGGAAAACAGTTCAAGAAACGAGTCACTTAACTTGTTTTGCGACTGAAGCCACTCAGGGTCGACACAAATTATCGAAGAGGCCATTCGTAGAAACCGGACACACTTTCCTCTCAAATCCAGGGACTGATACGTCAAAAGAATTTGAATGCAACCATCAACAAGTAGTGAAAGCGCAGGAAACCATTTTTCACCCTTCTCCAAAAAGATACTTTCATCCGTCTTGTTTTTCACTGTGATAAGTGCTGGAGGACAACGCGTTGACATAATCTCCATGATAGTGCAGCACACCTCGAGTGCACCTTTTAGACAGGAAGAAAATTGGGTCACAATAAAACTAAAAACAATCGGAATAAATCCCTCTACAAAATTCGATCGCAGGCTTTGCAAACCATCAATTGATTCTTTTTGCGCAAAGTATGTAAGCACCTCCAGTATGCAGTCTAGCAAATCGCTTACAGGAAAACGAGAAGAAAGTTCTCCTACAATGGACATTCCAATCGGTTCAGAGCCCTGCTCCATGGATAAGATTTCCAGCCTCCAATTCACGTAGATAGCACATGCATAAATAGAATACAACTCATTTTTAACATATAATGGAAGCTCTTCACCGCGCTCACGCATCATAGTCAGGTAGTCCAGAACATACAGTTGAATATATTTCCGTTCCTTGGGTCCTAATTCATTACTTACAACAAAATGCATCGCTTTGCATATAATAAAACGCAAGTAATTACTCTGGCACAGCGGCAGCAAACTCTTTACTTCTTCCCAATGGTCAAAGCAGCTCATAAAACGGAGTCTAGCGGCAGCCCTATCGCGTACAGCCTTGTCTGGAGATGTCAATGCCTCCTCTGCAAGCTTTGCGAGTACATCAATGTCCATCACCTCCTTTGCTTTTCTTCTTCTTCCCTCAAAACCTTATCTATCAATTCACTAACTAAAATAAGTGGTCCTCATGCATGCCGATAAAAATAAAGAAAAGAAGCAAACAACAAGGAGAAAAAAAAAAAAAATCGCGTCACGGAGTTAGCGCAGTATCAGCGTTGTCGTTGCTTCCTCGTGTGGAGGAAAGCATCACAAAAAAAAAAAAAAAAAAAAGAAAATAGAACAAGCAATAAAATAATAAATAAATAAAAGAAAAGAAAAGAAAAACAAAAATCGAATCAATAGCCGCCATCCATACAAGTAGCTGACACACTGCAATGTCGGGAAAAAGACCCGTTCGAACCCGCTACAGGCCGCACACCAAACCGATGACTATGCACATTTTGCAACACACCATCGCCTCTAAAAAATTTATTGCCACCAACGTGGCCGATTTCATTGACATTCCCATTGGTATCATAACTATCACAGGAAAGAGGCACTGCGAAACGTCCAGAAGCGGTCCGCAGGCTCTTGCCTCGTTCGCGAGCCCCAGATGCGGCACCTGCACTCGACACGCTTTTTCCTTTAAGCGCGGGGGGGAAAGAAAGAGCTGAAAACGGTGAAATCTTATGGTGTTTTGTCGGTGGCGATACGAAAAAGTCACTACGGTGCTTCAGCCACAGCCGTGCCGCGAGCATCCACAGTGCACGTCCGTACGATAAGGGTGGAGTCTGCCGCAACTGCATTGTCGCGTCAGTAACCGCAATGAGGAACGCAATCCAGTCCCGCCGGCAACGAAACCGCAGCACCAAAACAGCTGCGCCATTGGGATCAATTGGACGTCGTCGATGCGACAGTGGCAAACCGAGAGCTCCGTTCGTGTGGTGCGGCGGGTTCTGAGATATGAAAAAGATACAGTAAGAGGAAGCGTCATCATGAGCAAAAAGCGTACAAGAAAATTCCATCAGCAATTGCCGTGCGTGAGCACCACACAAGATACAGCTTATATTCCCGGTGGAGCCACTACCAATTGTCCCAAGAGGATACAACAAAAGACCATCCATAAGCGAAAAATGATGTATTTCCCGTACACGACGCGTCGAGCCTCTGTCGACTTCTCTGTTTTCCAGTTGTTGTTGTTGTTGTTGTTGCTTCTTTTGTGTCGGTCCCATCTCCGTCTGAAATTGCTGTACCCCCTGCTTATCGTGTGATGGCATCGACGTTACGGATGCTTGGAATTCACGTCCAGAGGATTTCCTAGCCAAACCGTTTAAATCCCGTATAATTCGCTCCACCAAAAGAAGGACTTCCCGTCGGTCCTTCGAAAGTTGCACCAGGGCGGGTATCTTCCTCCCTTCACTTGGGAGAACGTCTGCCAAAATGCCTCTCTTGTGCAGTACAGCCAAAGCCTGTGAAGGTAAAAGTGAATTTACCGGAGGGTCTAAAGAGAGCTGCTTTGTCGGCGACAAAGTAACGCTCGGGGAAAGAAGAGGACGTGCCCGTGATAATCTGGTAAGAGCACAAGTGCGTGGCAATTCCTTCTTCCCATTGTTAAATGTCAGAGGGGAAGAAATCTTTGAATGTGAAACCGGGAACAAAGAAGAAGATATTCGGTTCTCTGGTATTCCTTCCGCAGCAACTGACAAATTGCCAGAAATGTCAATTTTGCTGGACGAAGCAACCGTGTTGCGAGAATTACATGGAGGTGGGGGAGAAGTTCCCACAGGCTCTACAGGTGATGCTAACAAATTTGCCCGCAAAGGTGTTGAAGACAAAGAAGCAAAAGAATCTCTATCCACAGATGGAGAACGAATCTTTTTGGGCGACGCGCCCCCGTTCGATGGTGATGAAACATCACTTGAGGCCAATAAGGCAACAACTGGAGGGGGAAGAGGAGGAGGGGGACGAACGGGCGATTTGTTCTCGGCTTTAATGCCCGTGCATGCGCGGAGTACCGCAAGCGCTTCCTCGTGCACCTCAATTGCTCTAACTTCCTCCTCAGTGAGGACGCAGAGCTGTTGAGTCTCCGCCACAGCGCGTTTCATGTCACTTTCAATTTGAATTAACTTGGCGACGCGCTCCGACTCCGTTCTCTTAATCTGCGCTTGCGCTTCGGCGAGTGCCTTTTGACGGGCGGCCATCGCCGAGCGGCGCACTGTACGCAACTCCTTCAACCAGCTTTCTTCCTCTGCACGACGCTCGCTAAGATGTGTACGAAGCGTCTCCTCCATCACCGCCACGTGCGTCTCCGCTCCTCGAGGTGGCGAGCGCCTCATTTCCCCTTCCCGTTCCCGGCGTTCTCGATTCACCCCAATGTCGAGTGCGGCCGGCGTGGACAACGACGCCGGCGTCAACGAGGGTTGGGGTTGCGGCTGAGAATCCAACTCGCCAGAGTGCGAGGGGAGGGTCAATGGACCTGAGGTATCTAATCTATCGGATTTGACATCCAAACGCTTTCCCCGTCGTTCACGCGCACGCTTCAAAATTGCTAAACGTCGCTGCGCATCCTCACGTTCTGCTCGTAATTCGCGCCGCTGCTGCTCCAAAAAAGACCCCGCCTCTACGGACGCATGAGGAACGGGAGAGAAGGTGCCACTGGCCTCCATAGCGTCGTTTGCAGACCCACAGAGGAAGCTCAGGCTCGCGTAACGGCCATGTAGCAAGAGCGTCTCATCAATGACACGCATAACGTTGCGCAGACGGCGACGAAGTGCACTCCGAGCATCATCCGAATCGAGGTGCATAAGGGGCTTCCCTTGCAAATTCAATTCCTCTTCAGTCCAGTGGCCAGATGGAAAATGAAGAGGAAAAAAAGAGCAAGAAAAAAAAAGAGAAAAAGAAAAAAGTGTTATATATGCAGACAAATGCCCCTGTTTTTCCATTTGTGCTCACAGAAAGTGAACCCCTCATTTGAAAAGGACAAGAAAATAAATTAAAAAATGATCGCCCTAATTCATTATTCCAAAAGCGACTGTTGTGATCCTCGCCACTACCACCCGCAGTGGCGCTTAAGATACATATACAATGAGAAAAGAAATGAGAAAATCATGCAGCTTCAATCGATTCTCAGGCGATTGTTGAATAGGAAGTAAGGTATCAAATTTGATCTTCGCGAAATATTTCCCCTTTCCCTCTCCTCGTTCATGTCAATTCACCTCCCGTCTTTTTCCATCCCCGCTGCTCTGCACCACACTCGTGTGGCCGGAAATAAATGCAGGTTCTGCCAAATCACATCCTTTTAAGATTAACTTTTGCTTCAGAACCTTTCTCTTTTGTTATTACATTCGTCCTTTTTTTTTTTCCGCCTTTTCCTTCTCCTCCTTCAGTGGGTTGGCACGTGAAGGTCAAAAAAATGATACATGACGGTTGCTGCTGTAATAAGAACGCAACCCAAAACAAACATTACGGATGGCATATGCCCCCAAATAATAAAAGACATGAAGCCACTCACCGCCACTGCCACCCCTGTTGCAAAGCCCTTCACAATATTGTCCGTGTACTTCACCACGATAGCAACCAAAAGTCCACCGAGTGCATGAATAAAAACAAGCCCAATGGTTAGCCACTGGTCATACCCCCGCCAAAAATGGAACGCTTGACCGTGTTTCCCCTCGGCGGGCAAAGTGGGAAGAAAATCGAGTAAGAACACAGAGAGCGCAGCAAAGGGGATCCCAAAAAGCGAGAGATGAATGTTCCGCACCGCCAGCGATGGCGCAGTGGTTTTGACGACCTTCTCAAAATATACACCAGCGTAACTCGAAGAAAGCCCCGACAGCACGCAGGAAGTAACTCCAAGCAGAGGCCTCTGAGGACGCTGTTCTTTGAGCAAAAGCTTATTTGGCCTCTTCCCCCCACCATTCTGCAGCTGGGCAAGAAGAACACCAAGTGTGAGCACAAGCAACGACAACCATTGCATCATGCTCAGCCGTCGCCCTAGTAGTATCAGAGAAAACACGCCGGCGGAGATCAGCTTGGTCTGTGACCAAACTTGAAAAGACAATGCGTCAAGCTCAGAGAGACCGATAAAAGTAAGGTAATTCTGCATGGTAAAAAGAGCCGCGGGTACCGCCAGCTTAAGAGTTTCCTTTTGAAAAATCACACCCCACAAAAGTTGTGGAACGCCACTTTGAGCAGTGGAGGATTTACCGAGTTCAAGCAGAGGGACTCCGCACAAGTAGTTTTCTACAGTAAAGATAATGATGCAAAACAGCATCTTAACAATTTCCTGGTTAAGCACAAGTGTGGAGGCGTGGTATTGCCTCTCCGGCGGCACATTAGCACGGGAGTAACGCGTCATGACAACCAACAGACTGTTCTGCAGCACCAGAACCAAAAGACTAACGGCGGCCGGAGAAGCCCATTGTAAAGTTGGCATCTAAACAGAACAATGCGCACACTCAAATATCACAGTGAGACGAGCAAAACTAAATAAATAAATAAATATGAATATATGCAGAACGGAAAATAGGCAAATCGGTTCGTGTATCCCCTCTCCCTCCTCCCCCTCCTTCTCAAAAAAAAAAAAAAAAACGAACAAAAATAAGTAAACTATACCTGAGCCTATGCAACAATAGCCCAATCCAATCAAAATGAAAAAAAAAAAAAAAATTGGTGCGTGCCAAATATCGTTGTGCGAGTAATGACGTCTATGTATTATTCCCAGAGGGAAAACAAAGCCTGCCTCGCACCCTGTTCTACACCTGTCTGCCAATAGACAATAAAGAAAAAAAAAAAAAAGAAAGGAATCGTTTCACAGGAAATTAAAACGGATGGGATGCAACAACAAGGCCCAATGTACAGAGACACAGAAGCTCAGACATAGATACGCAGTATCCACAACTCATAAGAAAACAAAAAAAATCCCCCATTCCCACACCCACCCCAACAGAGTGCAACACAGGCACATAGCTGTAATTACTAACTAAACTCTTATCTTTCATCACGGCATATTCCAAGCTGACAAAACGCGAGCAAGAATATTGTGATCATGTCTAATGCCAATATTTCATCACCTGGTGGTTGTCTCCCCACTAGTTCTTCGACGTTGACGTTGTTGGCGCTGTCTCCCATATCATTTTTTCCTTCTCATATCCCTTGCGATTGTCATTATGAAGTTTGCGATGATTATGAATTCGTGTGTACATCCACTCTGAAAGTTCCACCACGTCCGTCTTCGTCTCCCACCCAGTTCGGAACCTCGCTGGTTGTTTATGCCCGGTGTAGTCTCTCGTTTTCATCCGAGATTCGCTGCGATTTTTCTCCGCAATATTTGCCATGGCAATATTGTTCTCGGCTGTTTTTGGTTTGTGATTGAGGATGCCATTTACACCGGCTAAGGTTGCTGCCACAGAACGCCTTGACGGACGACGAATTGCGAGGTCTTGTAAAGAACATGGCGCATCCATCTGCGTCAACGCCACTGCATGCACCTCCGGCTGTGTGGCCTGCCACTTTGAGCGGACGGATGGTCGCGTGACATCAACGTAACACTTTCCCCGGCCCGGTGGTGGCGGCACCTGACGCTCCATCATCCAGGATGGCTCCAGGTGGGCGGCCTTCTTGGATGTTGGGAACAAATCCCCGCCACCAGCACTAAATCGACGCAACGTCCTCTGCAACATCTGCAGATGTCAACAAAAATATAAATTATCGTCCCTCCCCTAAGAACCACCAAATATAAATATAGATGTATGCATGCAAAGAGGGAGAAAGAGGCGTGATGCACCCGTTGTGTACTTCCTCTGCAAAAATCCGGTACACCAGTGAATCGACAATACACGCAAATAGAAAAAAAGAGGGAAAAAAAAAAAACGTTGTTCGGGCACCAACAAATCGAAAAAGAAATCGCTCCATCAGAAAAAAAAAAGCCGAGAGAACCAAACAGGTCTTTGCGAATTATTGCCGTCACCAGAAAAAAAAAAAAAAACTCTTCATACGTCATCCCTTCCGCATTGCGTGGTTCCCTGTCTCCACTGCCTCACTAAGGGATTCAACACTAATGTCATCCTCTGCCTGATGAATCTTGAGGCGGCGACGCATGCCATACTTACCCTTTTCGTGGCTGTTGTGCGGCAAAGGCGAAGGAATGTGGGGGGTGCGAGCATAAAATTCACGCTCCGCCTCTCTCTCTGCGGCGTAACGCGCATCCATCTCTGCTCGATGGGAATGAAGTTTTTTCATAGGCTCAATGCCTTCATGCAGCTTTGGGGGCGGCGGCCCACCCTGAACAAACAACCGACGAGCCACAATAAAAAAACCTGCAGCAACGTTCGATGAGAACTCTAAACTAGACAGCCATGTGCGCTGCATCTCGCCCTTCCCACCAATGAGCGCCAACTACCAACAAATGCAATTGTCGTTTATATCTTGCCACAGCTTCTCACGCAGACACAAACAAAAACAGAGAGAGAGAGAGAGAAAAAAAAAAAAAGAAAAACAGATAGCAAAGAAACCCAAAAATGACATCAGATCATAAAATAAATGTTGGAAAGAGCACAATTCAAACCCGAAAAGAAAACAAAATCCGCACAACGCATTCAATAAAATTCGCTTAGGAATGTTCCAAACACACACACAAAAAAAAGAATAGTAGAAGGGAAAATACCTAAAAAAACATCAAGCAGCAATATGTATATATATATACATATATACATGGATATATAGTGCCCAAATAAATTCCAGTAAAAAACTTTCACGCGGGAATGTGTGCGTATAGATATGCATACATTTGTATAGCGTGCCTTTAAAAATATATATATATCAATTAAAATAAGGTTTCCATGCGTTATTATTATCTCTGCACCTAACATTTATAATAGGTAAATTTCACTATTTAAAAACATTTCATATACTTTGTGAGTTCAAAGATTATTCCGCGCCGTTCGATGAATTCACTGTACACATTATCCTCAACTCATTCTCCTCAATTGGATTTTGAGCCACCGATCCCACGGCAGACGCGGCAGAAGGGGTGCTAAACGATTCGCTCCGTATCACCCAATCTCCTGTAGGACCCACCACAAACGAAAGAAAGACGGAAAACAAAGCAGAGAATGTACCAACAACCGCGCCCCCCACAATGTCGGAGAAGTGGTGCTTGTTATCGCGTGTGCGGGAGATGGAAACGACGAGAGGGAAGATGAGGGGAAGCAAGGAGGCGGCGGCTGTGTAGAATGCACCAGTACGAAGGGTTCCCGTCCGGCAAAGTAAATATAATACCAGCGGAACAAACCCGGCGAATGACGACGAAGCGTGGCCGGATGGAAATGACAATCGCCCCTCACGGGCCGCGCCACATATTTGATCGTGTGTGAACTGATTAAAATTACTTTCCGTGATGCCTTCCTTCGCCAGACGATGAATGAAATCAGGCCGCAGTCTCCCCGCGTACAGTTTGCAAAGGTTCACAATGCAGTAGTCAAGGGAAACGCTGAAAGACTGCACAAGGATCCAGGCATTCAGATGCTTGGCCACCATGTGCTTCCCGTGTTCCCGCCAGGTGAAGTACTCCCCCGTAGCGTAAATGAAAATGACAAGAATCACGGCGATAAGGACAGAGTACGTCGGGGATGTCTCGGTGTGGCTTGGAGGTTGGCTGATGCTGGTGTCGTCAAAGACAAACGGACGGCAGTGTGGCCGTACGAGGATGCCGACGAGTGCCCCGACAAGTCCAAAGACGACACAAGTAACGTAATCAAACACCCTCCACCTCCATACAAAGTTCATTTTGCCTGACTTGAACATCATATTGCCAAAAGTTCTCTTTTGGGTAATAAATAGCCACTAAAAGAAAAGAAAGCGGAAAAAACCGCCGTTTTAAATAAAAGCAGCAACAAAACAAAACAAAAAAAAAAAAAAAAAGAAAAAAGAAAAAAGAAAAACAACGAACATCAACAGAGAAAAAAACCGTCAGTCAAAAAATAAAGTTCGCCTTTTATTTTCTTCATGACGCCACTCCCTGCAAATCCACACAATTTTCCACCGCTGTACTCAGGTACACTCACACTTCAATATCTCCAAAAATTCACCAAACCCCCCGCTACACTCATCGGTGTAGAATGCACCATAAATAAGTCATCAAAAAAAAAAAATATATTGATCGCTTAAGAAGCCCACATCACAATAAAGAAAATAAAAAAAAAAAGGACAACGGGATAAAAAAAAAAATCCTTCAGTGAAGGACAAAGCGCGTAATCACCTCTTTGAGGCATAATCCTGTCGACGTGGTAAGAACATCCCATTACGTTTCACGACACGAAACAGGACAGTCACGGAGAGAAGTGCACAGCCTGTTCCAATGATGCCTCCAGCCAAAACATCAGAGAAATGATGACGGTTGTCACGTGTCCGGGAAACAGCAACAACAATTGGTAAAATTAGCGGCAGCATAGACAAAAAAAGACGCAATGGGGACGCAAAATAAAATACTTGCAGATGCCCCACAAAAAACAGCACCAATGTAACAATTGAAGAAAACGAGATGGCGGCGTGACCCGATGGAAAAGACAATCTCCCTTCACGTGCAACTTTGCACCAGTCCACCCCCGTTGATTTCTCGCTGTAACCTTCATTTTCCAATCGCGCAAGGAAGTCAGGACGCAGACGACCGGCGTATAATTTCGTGATGTCAACAATAAACATACTCAGCGTCACAGAAAACGCCTGAGCGAGAAGCCAGTGATTCAATTTTTCCAAAAAGAGCCACCACCGTGCATTGCCACCCGCCTCTTCCCCGTCGCTTGTATTGATGACAGTGCCACCATCAGCTTCTTCGGTGTGACACCGTCGCATATTCATCCGTTCACTGTTCCTTGTTTCCAGTGCATTGGTGACCAAGTCCAGGGAGGTAGAAGGCCCGTGAGAGGGTCTCGTGTCGGGTCGCCACAGCAGCGCGCGGATGAGCTCAACGACAAAGTAGATTAATGCGGGCAAAATGGCGATGGGAGCCAAAGACCAAGAGGGAAATAATCCAGCCCCAGCGTAGGTGTGTCCGATTGTTGCGTCTTGCCAAGAAAATTGACGACAATGCGGACGCACCTTTTTCCCAATTGTTAAAGCGGCAGTACATAGAAACACACAAAGCAAATAGTCCACTATCCTCAATTTCTGCAAAACCTTCAGAACCTTTTGATACGGCAGCATCCCTGGATGGTGTGAAATTAAAAATAAATATAAAATATAAAATATAAATGAACGGAAAAGGCAAATCGGTTTGGGTTTCCCCTCTCCCTTTCCCCCTCCTTCAAAAAAAAAAAAAAAAAAAAAAACAACAAAAATAAGTAAAATATTGCATCACCAACAATAGCCCAATCAATCAAAATCACAAAAAAGGATTTGGTGCGTGCCAAATATCGGTTGTGCGAGTAATGACGTCTATGTATTATTCCCAGAGAGACAACAAAGCCTGCCTCGCACCCTGTTCTACACCTGTCTGGCAATAGACAAGAAAGAAAAAAAAAAAAAAAAGAAAAAAAGCGTTTCACAGGAAATTAAAACGGATGGGATGCAACAACAAGGCCCAATGTACAGAGACACAGAAGCTCAGAAATAGATACGCGGTATTCACAACTCATAAGAAAACAAAAAAACAAAAAAAAAATCCCCCATTCCCACACCCACTCCAACAGAGTGCAACACAGGCACATGGCTGTAATTACTAACTAAACTCTTATCTTTCATCACGGCATATTCCAAGCTGACAAAACGCGAGCAAGAATATTGTGATCATGTCTAATGCCAATATTTCATCACCTGGTGATTGTCTCCCCACTAGTTCTTTGACGTTGACGTTGTTGGCGCTGTCTCCCATATCATTTTTTCCTTCTCATATCCCTTGCGATTGTCATTATGAAGTTTGCGGTGATTATGAATTCGTGTGTACATCCACTCTGAAAGTTCCACCACGTCCGTCTTCGTCTCCCACCCAGTTCGAACCCGCTGGTTGTTTATGCCCGGTGTACTCTCGTTTCTTTTCAATATATATATAAAAATTTTTTTTTTTTTTTACGTTCCAGTCTTTTTTACTTTTCACTTTTATTTCGATTTATCCCGTTGGCTGAATTTTGTTTCGTTTTATTTTTTCTTTCTTATTATATCCTTCTGTTTTATGCTTCGTTTTGTTTCCCTTTTTCGCTGACAGTGTTTCGAGGCCTTCCTTCTCGCCAACCCCTCCGGTGGCCAATCATCCCACAAAGGAAAACAAGTGAAGAGGGGCACGAAGAGGCAAATTGCAGAAAAGTGGGGAAAGGCAGGCGCAGTGCGGAGAGGAGAAAAAAGAAAAAAAAAGAACATTACATAAATAAATTAATAAATTAATAAATAAATAAATAAATAAATAAATAAATAAAAAAGATAAAACAAAAAACTAACAAGACGGAAAAGAAAATCAACCACGCAGAAAAAAGGGGGAAAATAAAAAAAAAAGGCTAAATGGAGAAAGAGAAGAGTGCACAGGCCAATACAATAATTATTTGTACACATGCATGTATGCCCTTCAGTGGGCACATCAAAAAGCTTTATTTCCCTAATTCCTCTCTGCTCCAGAAGGCAGTCAACCTTGATGCCTCCAATCGCATTGCATCAAGAGAATAATAATAACAATAACAGAAAGGGACTGGAAAAAAAAAAAAAAAAGTCAGAAGAGATGCGAAGAAATGATGGTCCAGTGACAAACCTTTTCACCTTCCCAAATCACAGGGATCATTAAAACAGAAAAACAAAAGGGTAATTGTGATAATAATTTCAAAACAACAATGACAATTATCAATGATAACTGGTCGCCCTCACAAAAAGTCTCTTTAGAAGTGCTTAAGCTAATAATGGGGTTTTCCAAAGTGGAAGTGCAAAATGTTACTTCCCCTAAGAACTTCTCAGCGGGGTTCAGCCGACCAACGCCCCCGAAGTGATGCACACACATACCTCCTCGTAGACATTATTATCCTTTTTCTTCATTTGCACAAGCTCACATTCAAAGTTGAATGGAGGACCACTGCACCACCGCTGGTGTGTAGTGAGGCGTCGCAAATCGGGGTGTTTCCGGCAAATCCACATCCACAATCAAAGAAACAAACGTCGTGGATACGTGTGCGGTGCATTCTGACTTCTCCGCGGAAAGAGAAACTGAAGGAGCAAAAACCAAAAAAGGCTTCGCAGACGAATCATACAGTTCATATTCGTCAATATCGAGTGGTGAATCGCCCCTAACACAATTTAACTTCAACGACCGACCCCGGTCTGGACAGTGTGCATCGCTGGGGAAAAAAGTGTTGCAGGGAATCCTTGCCTGAACCCCCTTCGCCGAGTTTCGTTTCAGTACGCGCATGGCAGAAAATAAGAGGATCCGTGAGAGGAGACGATCTGTGGTGAGTTTCGAGGCCGCTGCGTCAACGCCCTCCTCGCACTCATCCATCCACATGCTAGACAAATTAACCTTCGTATTGGTCTCATCCGCATCAATGAGCCCAACGAATTTTTCGCCGTCGTTGTCCTCCAAAGGGCAACCTCCTCTTGGACGAGCCGCTTCATGCGACTGCATTGCGTCACAATCTATCGGCTCTTCCCCCCCTGCACTACCCCAAAAATCCACGCACAAACACACGCAGAGGCAAAGCGCAAAAGGTAAATAATAATAATAATAGTAATAATAAGAAAAAAGATATGTATATATATATACCATTTACAGGTACAAAGTGAAAAAAAAAAACAAATGCAACAGTCCAAAAAATAGATAATTGTATGCGCAAAGCGTCTTGTTTTATCTTCGGTAAAATGATTCAAAATTATGGACCGCATTTCACTAAAACTCCTCTGGTGGAAAATCCCCGACTGTCACCTGGTCCGGACGTAAAAACCCGCCATATTTCGGCTGACATTCGAACACACGCGTCCCCTTGACACTACCGTCACCCTTCCCCACAGGCTCGTCAAACTCAACGCCAATCCAATAGCCTGGCTTCAGCGACGCAACGCGGCCAACAAACCGCACCGTTCCCAGACGGTCTCCAGGCTGGCACTGGCAACGATCATCGACGTGGATCTTCTCAGCCGTTTCCTTGTAGCTGTCTGCGTCCAGTTCCTTTGGAAGAGGATTACCAGCCTTTTCGGCCTCCTCACGTTGTCTTGCCATCATGAGTTGGCGGAAAGCCCGAGCATTGTCCTCCCGTTTGCTGTATGCCTCTTCTGTTATCTCATACTTCTGTACCTGAGACACGTCCTCAAAGTTTGCTATTTGCTGCGTTGGTCGAAGGTCCACAACATGAATGACAAAATCATCTCTGCACTGGTAGTACCCGAGCTGCTTGTCGTCTGCCATGCTTGACTCCACCTTGACGCCTCGGTCATCGATAAGCTGAAGCTGCATTTGCTCTGGAGGTGTGGCAAAGTGCGTGAAAATGTTGCTCTTAATGCTCGCAATCGTCTGTGAAAGTTCGTAGCGCTTCTCGGGGACACGTATCCCACTCGATGAGTGCGTAATTGACACCCGGACGACAGACATGGCCTATGGTATCAACACCCTCCAGTCGGAAACGACACAAACACGATGATAGCCAAAACTTTTCTATTTTTTGTGGACAGAATGCCCGATGCAAATCAGGTCTAATAATTTGCAGGAACAGCAACAAGAAAAAAACAAAAAAATTTTACACATATACATATATACATAAACTTCTTTTTTCCTTCTCTCTCTCTCTCTCTCTCTCTCGTTAACACCGCTGCCGCTGTCGTCTTATTTTCCCTTTACATTGCAGTTGTCAACGTGACTCCCATTCATCCAATGGGCTTTCTTCTTTTTGAAAATTGCTAACACCCATAAAGAGCTTGGAAAAAAAAAAAGGATAACACAAGAATGCCTGATTTACATGACGACAGCATATGAAAAACGTAAGAAAAGATGTGTGAAAACACTGCAGGTATCCCCCTTTTTTCGCGTCTGAAAACTCAACACACACTCTTCTTTTTTTCTATTCGTTTTCACACTGTTTTTTTTATCTCCTTTTTTTTTTTCATCTTCCCCTCACATTCCTCGGCAACCCGCTCAGGCTTTTTCTCTCGCGTCCGGTACCTTGACAGGCATCCACCCCCCTAGCGCCAGTAGCCTATTGTACCATCCCTGCAACCGCTGACGATGAAGCTGTTGGTCGACGGGTCAAAGACAGCACACTGAACGCCGTCTTCATGCCCCGCAAGTACGCCTACAGTGGAATTTGGTATATCAATAATTTTAATTGTGGCGTCCTCACTGGAGACAGCAAGATACATCCCAGTGCCATCGGAAGCTACATGATTCGCTGCGTACGGTCCGCAATCAACAGTTAGTTTTTGTTCCATGCGACGTACGTCCCAAAGCGCAACAACGCCATCCGCATCACAGGATGCCAAAGTTTCTGTTGTGCCTAACACCGCTACAGACTGAACAATGTTGCGATGGCCATACAATGTCTGTACACAACAGTTCATACGGGAATCCCACAAAGAAACAGTCTTGTCTCCACTACCTGTACATAGTATATTAGTGTATGGCTTCCACACCACAGCATTCACGGTATCCACGTGTCCCCGGAGTGTCTGACGGCACTTACCAGTTGTAGCATCCCAAACGCGAGCCGTTTGATCAAGCGCTCCACTGGCCAAAAGAAGGCCGGTTTCCTGAAAGTCCAGACACCATACACTGTCACAATGACCTTTAAGAGTCAACTTGCAACTGTTCGTGGCAAAATCCCACAGTTTCACAGTCTTGTCGCCTGACGCAGTGGCCACCATGGTCCCAGTAGGATGCATAGCCACCGATGAGATCCAACTCTTATGGCCGTCACCAGACATTACAAGCTCACCCTGTGGTAACGCAGAAAGCCGCCAAGTACCGTCGTCACTGGAGCTGGCAACAGCTGGCTTCTCGGGGTGCATAGCAACTCTTGTCACGGGCATGGAATGCGCTTTAAATGATGATTGGCAAACCCATGTGAATGGCTCAGTTCGAGCAACGTAATTCGTATTCACGCTTTTAGATCCTGATCTTTCATCTGCCGGCCATCGAAATCCATCAGATGAACTCTCTGTCGTTCTAACAGCTCGACCACCACGTTTCTTTTCATTTGGATTTGCATCACTGGCTTTGGCAACATGCCCGTCCTTCCGTTCAAATGCGGCCTCTGTTGCTCTGGAGCGAGTTTCCCCTTCCACTTCTGACTTTAGCATCCGTTCCATGTTTTCTATTTGTTTCTCTAGCCTCGAAGCCTTGGCATCCAACTTATCCCTCTCTATAGTAAGCAGTACTTTTCCTTTGTGCAGTGTCTCACACTTCTGACGAAGTTCATTTAGAGTTGGAGTAATATCCTCCGCATGGCGTTGTGCCTGACGAAGAAGCTTTGCAACCCTGTTTTTCTCTTGAACCACACGATTGTGGTTGGCACGGTGAAAATCCCGCTCCTTCTTCGTTTGGAGAAATAATTTCGTGGTTTTTGCCGTCAACTCGGCATGCTGGCGAAGTTGGTGCTCCAAGACATCAATGCGATCCTGAAGAGCTGCGGTCTCAAGATAGTTATCCGCGAAAACAGGAGCATCTGAGAGCGGCTTTGACCCGTACTTCTCGTACCACTCAATCTCAAATGCCTCCATTGTGCGGTACATGCCGTTTCGCAGGAAAAAATTACGCAAAAAGTCATCCGTAGATTCAGGAATCCGCTTGAGGACAGGGCGCGGCGGGGGTGGCATGCCCCGCTCTCGTTGCATCTGCACTGTACGCTGAAAGGTGTCAAAGTCCACATCCTCTATTTTCGACATGAGAGTGGCACTCAACTCCGGGTCCTTCGGTGTCGACTCATCATCTGCGGCGAATTTGACACTCGACCGCATTTGGATAAAACGACAATCACCAACTTCACCTTTTCTTTTTACTTTAAGTGTGTCTGGAATAGGAGGAAAAGGGAGGGGAATACGGGGGGAGGCAGTTCTCTCCAGTCTTTTATGTGTGGTCTTTGGCGGCACAGCTCTACAAATAAAAAGCGCGCAAAAAAAAAAAATATATCCGCAAAACTCAAGAAAGAAAAAACCATCCCACAAGAACAATGACAATAATAATAATAATAATAATAATAATAAGTGAAACACACAACAAAATCTCCATCCGGTTTGTCTGCCAAACCCGTTCCGTTAGTGACGTCTTTCCACTGACATGGGAATACTCCAGTCGATGGGGGAATGCCCCAGCTGTGTCAAAGCCGCATTGCACTTTGAAAAGGGTCGAGAGCCCCACCATTTGGCCGCGCTGAGTGGAGACGGATGCGCGTTTTCAATGACAAGATGCCGCTTCTGGTCAATCAATGTGATTTTCTTCCGTGCAAATCCACCCCAAAGAAGAAACACAATTGGTCTTTGATGCTTCTCAGAAAGCAAACGAATAACGCCATCGGTAAAGGCCTGCCAGCCACACTTTGCATGGGAATTAGCCTGGTGTGCCTCCACAGTGAGCGTTGCGTTAAGCATCAACACACCTTGCTCCGCCCAGCATTGTAGATAGCCGTGTGGAGGTGACTTGAACCCAGATATATCGGTGGTAAGCTCCTTGTACATGTTCAGTAAACTCGGTGGTGGACGAACACCAGGAAGCACAGAAAAGCACAACCCATGCGCCTGACCAATGTTGTGGTATGGATCCTGCCCCAGCAGTACCACCTTGAGCCTGTCGAGTGGTGTACTGTTGAAGGCGGAAAAAATTAAATCACTTGGGGGAAGAATAACTTTTCCCTTCGTCTTCTCTCCCTCTATAAACTGCTCTATGTTACGGAAGTTAGTGGTGGAAGTAAGAGGTTGCAGAAAGGCACGCCAGCCGGAGTCCGTAATAAGAGCCGAGAAGTTGTTGCTGCAACAGATATCGTCCTTATTTTCCGTCCTTGGTTTGGTGAAGGCCAGGGCCGGTTCCCTCACACCTTGCATACGGCGTTTCCGTGAAGCCGCCTCGTCCTGTTCATCCGATTCCGCGTCCACGTTAATCACATTTGGACTTGGGTCCTTTTTCCGCACAAAATCTAGCAGAGTGCGCTGCACCATGTCCAACAACACTCCGCTCCTGTGCGTTAAACACCCCTTGTTTGTTTATTGCAACAACAGACGTTTAAAGAAAAAAAAGACAACATGTATTTAAATTTGGGTGGTGTGCCATTTCCACACGCAGGGAAAATAAGGGGAGCCTCTGTCACCAAGAAAAGCAAATAAAATAATAATAAGAAATTTTCATGAGTAGCTGATTTGTGGGATACCGCAGCGAAGGGAATCGGCGTTAGTTGGCCCCTGCAGTTCCCCTGAGCATTTCAAAACTTCCAAAAACTAATACACCCAAAGTCAAATATATGCATATATTTTCTCTGAGTGCGTATCTACACATACACACACACAAAAAAAAAAAAAAAAAAGAACTGTGAGAAAGGGAAAAATAAAGAAAAATGAAAATTGAAAGGTAAGAAAAAATGAGGGAAAAACACATTTTAGTGACGGATTCGGCTAGGAGATAATGTCTCCTCATGTGCAGCCAAGGCTTAGAAATACCTTGCCCTCTCGCTTATTCCAATGCTGAATAACAAATCCATATGCTGAAAGCAGGGTCGTGATCAACTCGTCGATGCTCCGCAGCAGTTCCCCTTGGTAGTGTACCCCCGATCCATCGTCAGAAATCTTCAACGCGGGCAGTTGAGGCTCAATCACAACCCCATTTTTAGATTGATTGCCCCCTGGCCAGTGCACAAATACGGCTTGCGGGAGTGCCCGGCGGAAAACCAATCGCTGGTACTCAAATCTTCCAAGAATGGCCTTCTCTAGCTCCGGTAACTGGAAGAACTGTGCATCGCTGAGTAGCTGCTCCCACTCATCAAAAGACTCAGGCAGCAGCAAGGCACCGGTGCGAAGGAAGTTGAGAACGTGGCGGAATGTTACACCATCACGATCAATGAAAAAAGAGCCGTCCTCGCTGACTTTCCCGGTGCCGTTGACTATCGGCCCGAATATGGGGTGTTCGTGGAATGACCTAAAAGTCGCTCGGTACGTCAAAAATGTAACGCCCCCAACATTTAGCGAAACCTGCTGTGCCCACTCACCGGTTACGTCAAAGCCGAGGTTCCTCTGTATCCAGTTCATCGCCCGCACCGACATGCAAAATTAACCCTCACGCTATTTGTAAAAAATCACGTCAATTCCTAAGAATATTAATAATAAATTCCTGACCGCAACGAGAGACCATCACACATACACCCAAGAGGGGAAAAAAGCCATGAATAGGAAAAGGCAACAGAATACGACATAACCACACAGACAGGCACAGGTACATACATAAAAAAAAAAAGTCATTTAACTGCAAAAAAAAAAAAAAAAAAAAAAAAAAAAACCTACTCTTCACAAAAAGAGTATACATTTAAGAGTAAAAAAGGGCACACCACACAGCGACAAAGCCATGGAAACAGAGAAAAGAAAATTGGATTTAGGTTAAAACCGACGGCGATGATTGCGATATTTTTGCTCAGACCATACATGAATCAAAGCGGCATATGACGCAGTGATTTCCTCCTTCTCCACTGGAGGTAGTCGTTGAAGAACTTCGCTCGCCAACGCTTCTTTCCCACTCTGCTCCAAGACCGATATTAAGGTTGCATACGTGACCACATCTGGTACTGGTGGGGGGAAAGTAGCGAGAACGCTCTCCTCCCTCGCCTCTGTCCCTAAAGAGGAAGAAACCCCTTCCACCGTCGAACCAGCGGACGCTACACCAATTCCTGTTGTGCCTGAAAAAACTTTGGAGTCCAGGTTTTGGAGTGGATTCGGTCCCATGGAACGCACAATGGCCAAGGCCCCTTCCCATTCAAGTGCTGTTTCACACGCTGCTATACACGCGTTATATGCCTCAACAGGTTGTTCCTCAGGTGGTATCCTTGTCTGCAGAAAATGAAGTGCGCGCTCCCAGCCGTACAGCCCCTCACCTATAGTCTCCTTTTTCGTATTGGCCAACACCGCAACTGCATCAATCAAAGTCTGACGGGATTGGCTCCGAAATATCTCACCAATTTGTTCCACCAAATGCCACTGCTTTGCCGATGCACATGTGTCGAGGAGTAAAGCCAAATGACTAACGCTGGCTGTGACACCCTCAGCACCCTCGGCTCCCTCTCGTAAGGTGAGTGAAACACCATCGCCCTCCTCCGTTTGGTTGATCAACAACATTTTAGTAACCTCAGCAAAGGATCGCAAGGCGTCTTCCCATGCCCGCATTCGCTTCGCGGTGTGCAGGTATGTAAGTAAATCATGACTGTTCCGAATAAGATTATTCGACTGGTGAATAAAAGGTCGTCCAGCGGCCGTGGATTCTTCATCCTTCTCAATGAGGCTGAACAACTTGGCGACGCTTTTATCTCCACGCCCCAATGAGTTGTCAAGCGGGGTGGATATGCCTATTGCCGGATTGCTCGCCATAGGAGTAGCAGTATGCTTCATGTGCTTGCGTGGCAATCGCATAGAGCGTGCCAGCACCTGTTCCAGAGTAAGCGGTGGCATTGACTACGAGCAAAATAAAAATAAAAAATGGATTCGAATATTCCCCGCCAATTCCTGCCACTGGGCAAGAAATAAAAATAAGTCGCAAAATAAACTCACATACACAAATACACAAAACAAAAACAAGAAAAAGAAGTAAAACTAGCAAAAAAACAAGGGTCAATATATATATGTAGATAAACGTGTATTAGGGGTAAGCATGTTGTTAACATTCAGAACAGCATGCTGAGCTTCAGCGCCACTCTCTCCAGCTGCTCATCGCCATGCGCGTCCTCCACGGATACAAACCGCTTGGGAAAAGCATTTTCCAACAACTGCTGCACACGATCCGGCAACTTTTCTACCGAGAGACAAAAAAGCATGGCAATCTCCAGCTTGTTTTCCTCATGCGCCCGTTTAAATAAAAACGCCCATTCTTTCTGCGAGGTGGCGCCAGGAATTTGAAAAAGCGACAGCAGTCGCTCTAAGCACCCCTTCTTAATACAGTATTCAATATACTCTCGTATCCAACACAGCTCCACAACACCCTCTGGAAAGTCATGCTCCTCGAGAAGGCTGAGAACATCCTGCTTGAACTCTTCTTTCTGAACTGAATTCCCCACCCCAATAGTGATTATGACGCTCTGCATAAGTTGCAGCAAACCCAAGACACCCCTCTCAACTCGCTGTAGCTTACGTTGAGTGCGCAAAATAGTCGAGGATCCTTCTTCTGCATGATGCAACTGCACAGTCTCCCTCGCATCCGCACCACATGTCATTTGTTTAAGTCTCATTTGCCCCATTTTTATTCGTGCCCACAACAATGCAAAACGTCTCTGAAGCAAAATTCGTAAACAAGCGAGGTAGTCAGCCGGAGAATCACAGATGCTTGGCCCCGATGCTTCAAACAGAGCAAGTACCAAGTCTGCCAAACCATCAGCAACATCCTCTAAAGAAAGTCGTTCCACCTCACTTCCCATCTTGCGCAGTTGTTGAAATGCTGCTCCTTGAACGGAGCTCGACAACGCCCATTCAAAAAACGCCAAGGAAGTACCTGGATAATGTCGCATGGACAAAATGATCGCCTTCGATGGATATGTGGCAAAGATATACGGAAAATAGAGGTAAAAGAAACAGAAAGGGTAACGAGACGCTTCCATGGCATCAACTATTTGCGGGGACTGTTCAACAATGAGTTGTTCCAAATGAAACCCCATTGACAAGGGACACTCAGATTCCATCAGAGAACGCCGGTCAACCTGGAGCTGCAACACCAATGAAATACACTGTTCGTGGCCGTTGACCACGCCTAAAAGTCGTAACCGAGTATTTCTTCCAGACTGTGTTTTTGTCATTGAAGAAACAAAAGAGGTACTGAGGGCAAGAACTAGCGGCAGATAACGACCGTCTGCACCAGAGCGTTTTACTGTCTTTTCAATAACGCTTGCTTCCTCCAAGCACCATTCCTCCTCTATTCCTCGCGACCTCCAACTTTCCAGTTCCCCCACATAGCGTTCTGTTGCATGACGCCTTGGCAGAAAAAGGGGCGCAGGCCACGGGACCGCAAGCAGTAAATAAAGAATAAAAAGCGTCTGAACCCATGGGTTTTCTTTATCACCAGTTTTATCTTTGATGGACCATGCAAGGGCCGATTTAAGCACATTTCGTAGTGCATTCACGGTGGCTTCTTCCTCGATAAAAGAGCTTGTATCCTCTCTGTTGCTGTCGCATGTCGCAGGGGAATTGGCACCGCATGAGATAACTCTTACCTGGCTCAACACCGAGTGAAAAGACTTCGTCAGTAACCCACATTCAATCATCCGTTCTTCCAAAAGTGGAAGAAATTCTTTTACGGCCGTGTAAAGCTGCTCATGTTCACCAAGGTGGAGAGCATGGACATTAAAAAGGCGGATTATTCGGTCCAACTCCAGAAAAAAACGCTTGGATTTCCACACGGACTTTTCTTCCTGCATTTCATGTTCTTTTCTAACAAAATTCATTCTGTTAGTAGTGCTACTCTCACCAAAAGGAATGTCTCCATCTACAATTGGCACCTTTGTGACTGCGTCAGAGGGATTTGAAAATAAACAATTATTTGCATGACCGCTTCCTTCTTGTAAAGTACGGCTCTCACCCAAATCATCGTTTTGAGCCATTCCTTCTGCATCCGCCTCGTCAGTGAAGCTATTGTTACGGTGCAAAGATAATGTCCGCTTCAGGCTAACAGGAGAATCACAACTGTGCGCCTTGTCATCTGTGGTGAAAGAAGAAGACTCAATGGAGTCTGCACAATCTGAAAAAGGTGCAACTCCCCCTGGTAGCTCTGGCGACACTCTCTGCCCCAACAATTCTCTCCGCCGTACCACACGAACAATTCTCTTCACAACTTTTATTCGATGGACCCGTTTTTTGGTAATTGCCGCATCGTGCGTTTGTTCAGACTCCGGTCGGGCCAATATTTCACGGGCATTGTCCACCCGATCGTCTTGAAGGCATAACGGATTGATTCCCAAGGGAATATACATGAGACGACCGTCGGAGCACAAGACCAACGCTATGGAAGAAAGAATCACACTGGAAACAATAGCCACATCATCAAAACGCCGTGTGATGTGATGGGTGTCTGTAGCAGATAAAAGCAAAAAACTAATAAATCGCGGGCCTTCAGACCACAGCAAAACGGGTAAAAAAAACTGTTCCTTGCCCCCGTCCAAATTCTCATCCCCCTGAGAAGAACCCACCAAGAATGATGAAAGACGCAAGGGCTTTAAGACTCCCAGCGCTACATCGGACTCCATTCGGTATGTCCGTGAAACTTCACCCTTTGAAGGGACATATTCAAAAACACGCGCGTTGTGCCGCGCAGCATACACCGCATGGTTTATTGGCCAAATACAGGCTCCAAAGAGACCTTCCTCCCGGGGCTTATTCCCTATCGGTTTGAATGTCATAGAGCCGTTTGCATACGTGACCACAATGCTGCGCCGCACAGAGGAAATAACTAAAACACTCGTTTCCGCATCCCACACCATCTGTATAATGGGTGATCCCTCCCTTAACATGACACGGTGTGAATCGTTTACAGACGCTGACACTGCCAACACCGTTCCGTTAAGGCATCCCACAAGAAATGTATCATCATCTAACCAACAGTGAGCGGTTACACGGTTTGTATATTGCAAGCTTGTCTCATCCGCAAAAAGTTCCAGTGATCTACCAATTTGCATACCTCCAGCACCAGAGCGCGAACTCATGGCGTCAAATGTCACAAATGTAACAAAATAGCCTCTGTGCAAACTCGATATAAGGGTACCACTGATCGAAGCATATGGACACACACAGAGACAATCAATCGCCAAGGACATGGTCCTCTTATTGCGTAGATTTTCGCCCTTTGCCCCATTCAATTCAGCAGGAAGAAGAGTCGTTACTGAAGCGACAGTTTCAAGTCCTTTGGAGTGGTGCTCCAGACGACAAACAGTCATTTCGCCACTGGTATGACCAAAAAAGACATGAGATTCCGTGGCTGCAAAACTGCAACAAGAAGAATTAGAGGGGCATGAAATGAAACGGACTATGTCATCATCCAAACTAAGTCCCGTGCTTCCCACCATACTGTCACACACATCAACATAAAAATAAAAAAAGGCAAACCTTGTTTTGTTGATTCTTTTTTTTTTTTTTTTTCTTTGCTACTTCCTTGGCCCGCACGATTCCCTTCTGGGCCACCCTGAAATATTGGAATAAATTGTAAAGGAAGGATGAGACAAAAGTGTCAATCAACACCGCCAAGATGTGAGCCACGCATACAGAAAGAGATAGGTATAAATGTATAAACTGGGAGAGAGCGAGAGAGTGGGAAAGAGACCGTCCATCTGTCTTTCCGTGCACAAAAAAACAAAAAAACAAAGAGCGATCAAATTATCGTCTTCCCGTTTTCCCCCCCTTTACGCAGCAAAAATGGCTCACTGTGTTACTGTAGCGCTTTCATCTTGCTGGTGTTCTCGTTCTTTTCCCGTTTTATTCCTCCGCTGCGGGTCAAATGGTTCTTGGCGTTTGCCTGCTCCCGTCTCAGTTTACTTCTCCTCCCCCTCCTGCATTCTGTCGCAAGGACGGTAAAGAAGGAAATAGGAAAAAAAAATCGCATATAAAAAACAGCAAAAAAAAAAAAAAAAGGTAAAATATGAGCGAGGAAAAAAAAAAAAACAACTAAATTTCTCAGCCATAACTGTCACGAGCGCATGCGGTTCCTGCTGATTAATCCGCCAGCACAGTGATGCAACGCCAGACAAGCGCCAAGAATGATATAAGGACAAAATAAAACAAAAAGAAAATCGCCACTATTTGCAAGTAGGAAAAACAAGGCAAAAAGGCATTGCTCCACTTCCAAATCGCTTATAACACACCCCTCCCTGTGGCACCCAGTAAGCTTTAAGAATTTTAATTTGTTCCCCCACCCACTCTTTCTCCATTCCTTCATCTCCTTCTCAATTGACTCTCTCCCCCTCCCACACTACACACAACTTGCGTATATTCATTTACATTATCCGCACGTTTCTTCCCTTGTCCTCTCTTCAATCTCACATTTTCATCCTTCAGGCTTCCTTTACATCCTTCGTTTTCGCTGCTCGTTTGATCTCCCTCATAACCCAACCATTATATATTATAAATATAAATATTTTTTTTCCCGGAAGCGGCTTCTTTGGTTCATTGCAAGTAAAAGGTAAAACAACACACAGAAAAAAAAAAAAAAAAAGAAAAGAGGATTATACGCTCGAGCAAGCCCCTGTTCCCCATTCATGCGGAGCGAATAGAGAAACAAGACCACAGTTTGCCTCATTGTACCCAACAAACCCCGATGCGGGCGGTATTTATCCAACACTTATACATCCATAGACAAACAAATTGATCACTCGTTTTGCGATGCCCTAGCTCGTTGGAAACCAACAAAGTTGCGGTCCTTATTGACTTCTCCATCCACTCCGTATAAAAAGCGGTAGGGAATGGACGGGACCAAAAAAAAAAAAAAAAATCACTCGCTGCCTTCCAACATGGCATATTTGGGGGAAAAGGTCAGGTCATACATAAAGAAACCTTCATCTCCTTCTCATTGTCCTTCGCATTTTCGCTAGCACAAAGCAATACATAATGCTAATAATATAAGTAGGTGCAGATAGAATTGTAATTGGGCACCCCAGCTGCACCATTGCTCACAAGTAAGTGGAAAGTATAGATTTAATATATATATATATATATATATATAACTATTATTACCATTTCTTTTTCTTTCCTTTTCGTCTTTGGTTTCCTTTACAAGGCACCACGGATTTTTTCTCGGAGAACGTATTGAAGAATACCTCCGTTCTCCACATACTTCACCTCCATCTCCGTATCAATACGCAGTATGGTACTGAACGAAGAGCCATCGCCTTTCTGTACAGTTGCCTCTTGACCGGGGCGCAGGCCACCAGAGAAATCAAAAGAGTACCTTTCTTTGCCCGTTAGGCCAAGAGACTGCGCACTCTCACCAGGTTTAAACTGAAGTGGTACAATACCCATACCAACAAGGTTCGAGCGATGGATACGCTCAAAACTCTCCGCAATGACAACTTTGATACCTTGCATAAAGGGGCCCTTGGCTGCCCAATCACGCGAAGATCCACTGCCATACTCCTTACCAGCAATAATGACGAGGGGAATATTCTCCTGTTGATACTTCATGGCTGCATCAAAGATGTACATTTTTTCGTTGGTAGGGAAATAAATAGTAAATGGCCCTGTCTGACCCTCGCCAACAAGCCGATTACCAAGGCGTGTGTTTGCAAATGTTCCTCGCACCATCACAAGGTCATTACCACGGCGTGAACCGTATGTGTTGAAGTCCTTCCTCTCCACCCCGTGATCTTGAAGGAATTTGGCAGCCGGAGAATCCTTGGCAATGGTGCCTGCAGGGGAAATATGATCGGTTGTGATAGAGTCACCAAAAAGCGCCAAGCATGCCGCGTCTTTTATCACAGTGTTCGGGGTGGGTTCCATGGTCATACTCTCAAAATAAGGCGGGTGGTGAATATACGTTGAATTGGGTTGCCACTCATACAGCTTACCTTCATTTACCTGAAGGGCGTTCCATTGTTCGTTAATTGTCGTAATATTCGAATAAACAGATTTAAAGAGTTCCGGTGTGACGTACCGACTCACAATTTCTTGCACTTCTTCGTTTCTGGGCCAAATATCCCGCAGGAACACACCTTTTGCAATAGGTTCTTCGTTAAAATCTATATCGACGCGCCCTGACAAAGCGTAGGCCACAACAAGAGGTGGTGAAGCCAGATAATTTGCGGCTGTCAACGGGTGTATGCGAGCCTCAAAGTTGCGGTTACCAGACAATACCGCTGCGGCAACAAAATTGTTTTCACTGATGCATTTCGATACTTCTGCGTGAATATCCCCGGAGTTGCCAATGCACGTCATGCAACCGTATCCTGTCGTGTTAAATCCCAAGGCATCCAAAGAGCTCTGTAGGCCTGCGGCTTCCAGATACCTTGTCACTACATGCGAGCCGGGAGACAGCGATGTCTTGATTCCTGGTGGCACCTTCAATCCTTTTTCAAGGGCCTTCTTTGCCACCAATCCGGCGGCAACAAGAACATGGGGATTCGAGGTATTGGTACATGAGGTGATGGCTGCAATCACAACGCTCCCATGACGCATCACCGCCTCTTGCCCATCTACCATATAATTCTTTGTCTTATTTACATCCTTTGCAGGAATACCAAAGCCTTTGAAACCTGACTTGGCTTGGAGGCACGCAGCAAAGTCTTCCTTCATATTTTTCAGTGGCACATGATCTTGTGGACGCTTAGGACCGGCGACACACGGTTCCACAGTAGAAAGATCCAGTTCAAGGTGGTGCGAATACTCAATTTTTTCATCACCTGTACGGAACATTTTAACAGCCTTGGCGTACGCCTCAATACGTTCCAACTGTTCCACACTGCGATTTGTGCAACGCAGGTAATTAATGGTTTCTCTGTCAATTGGGAAAAAGCCGGTGGTAGCACCATACTCCGGTGCCATGTTTGCCAGCGTTGCGCGGTCAGGCAAGGAGAGGTTATCAACGCCAGGTCCGTAGAACTCCACAAATTTACCCACCACACCAAACTTGCGGAGGTTCTTGGCCACAGTAAGAACAAGGTCGGTTGCTGTGCATCCCTCAGCCAGTTTGCCGGTAAAACGATACCCCAGGACCTGTGGCAATACCATAGAGAGGGATTGACCCAACATGCCGGCTTCTGCCTCGATGCCACCAACACCCCATCCAACAACACCAACGCCATTAACCATCGTGGTGTGTGAATCCGTGCCAACAACGGAGTCAGGGTAAAGCAATCCCTTGTTGTTGAACACAACACGGGCAAGGTACTCAAGGTTAACCTGGTGAACAATTCCAGAACCAGGAGGAACAATCAGGAGATTGTCGAAGGCCTTTGAACCCCATCTAAGAAACTCAAAGCGTTCACGATTGCGCTGCATTTCCATGTCTTGGTTTTCCTTCACAGCAGTGGGAGTGCCAGCCTTGTCAACTTGGACGGAATGGTCCACAACGAGCTCCACAGGAATTTGTGGATTAATCTTATTCAAGTCACCACCCAAACGTTTGGTTGCCTCCCGCATTGCTGCCAAATCCACCACACATGGGACACCAGTAAAATCCTGCAAAACGACACGAGCCGGTTTGAATGGAATTTCAATGTTCTTGTGGCAGGTTTCCTTCCAGTTGAAAATGTTATCCACCATTTTGGATGTAATGTCAAATTCATCACAGTTGCGAACGGCTGACTCCAGAAGCACACGAATGGAAAATGGCAAAGTTTCATACCTGGGATCAATTTCATGCAATTTGAAATACTTAGCCTCCCCTCCGTCTGCCGCCATTGTTGCAACATACTTTATAAATGGATTCAGCTGAGGATTCCCAGTCCTTGAAGCTGATGTGGAACGAAACATCCTTTAATTCAACAAATAGTTTTTTTTTTTTTAAATGCGCTGAATTAGCTTTGCTGTGTGGCCCCAATTATATATATTTTCATTTATTTATATATAACCATACGCATAGAAGAGAGAGAGAGAGAACAGGGTATAGAAATATAATAAAAAAAGAAACTCAATATTTTTTTCACTGAGAACCAACTTGAAAAAAAAAAAAAAAAAAAAAAAAGACAACAAGACACAATTTAATGACGGTATAAATAACAACAAGTAAAAAAAAAAAAACTCTCTTCAGAGATGAGACATCGCTCTAATAATTCGGTAATTTTCCTCCTTTTTATTCTTCTCACACCATTTTCATTGAAACCTCGCCAGTTCCTTCGTCAACTGCTTGTTTCGCCTCAAAGCATCGCTAAGCTGTTGATGCAGTGACTCTATCTGACTACTGTACAGCTTGACTACATCAGATCCTCGCCGTCTCTCAATTTCTAGCTCTTGACGCACCTGCTGCAGCTGTTTTTCTAATTTCTCCTCTTGCACAACCCTCTCCTTCCCACAGATCTCCAATTGCACCAGCAGTGCTGCCTCACGCCCTTCTAGTTCCTTCAACATACGACGCAGCTCCATTGCCTCTCCCTCGAGAGCGCCCCGTGTTCCCACATCTATTGTTTCGCCTTTAGCACACACACACCTGTCTTTCCCCTGATTCTGCTTAGACAGAAGCGTCTCAAGTTCCTGTTCCACCCAACACTTCTCTCGCGTTACCTGTTGAAGGGTCATCTCAAGCTCCTTCACCACACCTGCAAGTTCATGCACTTGTCGTAGTGCCTCGTGCTTCTCCTGCACCTGGTCATCCACACATTCTTCCCAATGCTGCTGAGCGACGGCAAGTCGTTGCCTCCATTGGTTTTCGTTCTCCGAAAGACGGTTGCTCCACTCAGTCTGTAATTTTTCCCGTTCCCTAACAGCAGCAAGGCCTGCATTGTCCTGCATACACCTTACACGACTCGCCAGCTCCTCGTTCTCCGCGCGAAGACCTGATAATGCTTCTTGAAACTGCTGCCGATGACGGCGTTCTTCCTCGCGATGACTCTCTTCAAGCTCTCGGGTTCTTTCAAGAAACTGTTGCCCAGCTTCAGATCGAGCTTCCTCTAGCTTTTCATTCGATCTCTTTAGCTGAATTCGCAAATTGTCGACCTCTCTTTGTAGTGACATCATTTCAACTTCGCTAAGGGGAGTAATATGCTCTAGAGCATTTGGTTTCTTTGATCGCTTTACAACAACAAGAGGGCCTAACTGAGCAGTTCGCTTCACTGCCCAGGAAGAAGAAGTCATATTTGCATCCATGGGCACCAGAGCCTGCGGGTCCAAAGATACTGATGCGCTCGAGCTCCTCCAGTGATTCTCACTCTGCCTTTTTTCTGAAAGACCGTTTTCGCAAGAAATCACGCGGCAGGAAGAAGAACAAGGATCAGTTTTCGTGAATGCACCGGCGTAATTGTTTTCAGGGTGAGCGGAAGGATTTGATCGTGGAGCCAATGGAAGAAGCGGAGGCCAGCGATTGCCAGGATCAAAGGCCTTCTGTACATCAGGTTGAAAAAAATTAGGAATATGATGCCGATTTGAGGTATCGGTAGCAGAAGACATCAGTGTTGTGACAATCACACAATTCCCCCCGGCATTTTCCACATGTGTCTCTTCTGACGATTGATCCATACGGTTTGATTTATCTTGGTAACAAAAAATTGCCTCACTTACTATTATGGAACACAATCTCCGCCTTCCATTCCAATTTATTTATTTATTTTTTAAATTTAAATTTTGAAAAAAAGTGGAAAGTTCCAAGGCGCACATCAAAGAAATGAAAAGGAAAAGAATAAAAAAAGAACCGGAGAAAACCACACACATATGAATTCCCCACCAAAGGAAAAAAAAAAATATGCGTGGTGCGTCAAATGACGGCACACAAAAAGGGGTGAAAAAAAGATAAAAAGAAGATGTGAAATAGAAGTGCAGGGGAACACCGGCACGTCATGGCGTGTCTATGCTTCATTTTTTGTTTTTGTTCTTACTGCTTGTTTTGGTATTCAAAGCGAAGCAGACAGTCGTGTAGCAATCTATCCCTCGTGATACAGCCGTATCTACATACCTGAGTCTCACATGTCGATTTGCCTTTTTTTTCTCCTCCTCTCGTTTATATCGCCCCCGTCGTTGCTTTTCCTGTAAGGTGCCTCTTTTTCCCCCTTTTTTCTTTCGCAACGTACCGTTGGCGTGAACGGTAAAGCGCTCCACTATACACATATGTTTTTGTCTGTTGTTGTTCCTGTTTAAAAATTTTCTGTCCTTTACCTCAAGTGCCAGGTCGCATCTTTCATCATCCCGCATCGACACAGCCCTGACGCTGGGCTAAAACGTCCGCCTTGGATTTATATTAAAAAACCCGCCACCCCTTTTGATGGGAATACACGTTGCACATATCGTTGAACTGGATGTCAAAAGAAGTAAAAGAGGCGCGGGGAGAATTGAAGAGGAAAGATGCTGAAGAGCTTTATTCTTCCATGACTTGGTTTCAACCGGGAAACCAAACCCCAACTTTATCCTTTCGCATTCCCCGCTTCACCTCTCCCCGATACATGCGAATTACATTACATGGAAAAGGCAAGACACTAAAAGTCATCGCTATCTTCATCCACATCGATATCGTCATCATCCGTGCCTTCGTCACCGTTGTCGTCATCGTCAAACGAAGAATATGAGTCATCCGACCCCCCTCGCCTCCCTGCCAGTGCAGGATTTATTTGATTGGAAAAGGTTGGGTTCGCCATTGGTGCCGATTGTGGAGGCCGCTTGTTTGTCGAGGTTGGTAGAATTACGACTGGCGTTCTTCCAACATCCGCGTTATCAATGGAATCTGGTGATGCTTCTTTCCAAATGTGAGCACCCGTTTTTATGTTATAACTCTTATTCTTTCCGGATTCTGAACTGGATGCCGGGGCTATTCGACCCTCAAGAAGATCTTCAATTTCCGGTGGGCACTCGGGTTTTCCCTTTTCCTTGCAACGATCGGTCATGTGAAGTCCGTGATTCGGATAAAGAACATTAAAATGAGGCCTTTGGAGCTCCTGGTCATCCTCCGTGAAGTCATACACATGCACAAAACGATTCACCTTTGGGTCTAGGCGAGCTGACTCAAAACAGCTTTTAAGTTCAGGTAAACGTAAGTTAAAGGGTTTAAATGTCATGTGATGACTTGACTCGATAACTGGGTCAGTCGATGCGAACAAATGAAGCGCGATGTGCTCACAATCACGAGTCCGCAACTGTTTGCAAGCCACATACACGGTCATTTTCTTACAATTACGCAGAAATACGCTTCCCTCACAAGCGGCAATAATGAGCTCACCATTCTCACAATCATCCACGGTAATACTATCCAGTGGATCCAAGATGTATACAGTGCAATTGTTAAGATATTCCAATTGAACTTGTTGCCCACTTACCTGTCCTCCGCAGCGATAAAAAGTTTGTCCCGTCCACTTCGATATAAAATATTTGGTGTCCTCCCCATTATCTGCCTTCTTTGGTGCCACCGTAATCTTTGAGGATGATGGAGAAATAGTTGTGGAACCCATAGTTGTATTTTCAACTTTTGGTTTATCGCCACCATCTTCATTGCACACCCCTTGAATCAGTGTCATCAGGATCGGACCCGTCGTGTCAGGAACATTCAATGCACGCATAATCGCTCCTTTATCTTCGAATGCATTTTCCGTCAAACCCGCCTCTCTTTTGAGTACATTCAGGGTGTAATTCAGTCCCAGATGCTCCAGATAATCCATTACAATTGCAAGAGCTTGTTTGCCTTCTGTGGCTTTCTTTGCTGCTGTTAATGTGGGAGATGGCATAAAAAGATTTGACAACATCTTGGAATCCTCCGAAATCGACCTGAGAGCGGCATCAACGACCATGGCCCACATCTTTCCTAATTCCCCAGAGCTCCTCCAGTCGCGCGCGAATAAGTTGCTCCGTCACTTGATCAGTCATCTTTTGGGTCTTTTCTCTTTTGTAAAACCAGTAAATCAATTTCTTTCAAATTATCTATCTATTTATTTATTTCGCCTATTTAATTCTGTGGCTTCAATAGGATACAAAAAAAAAAAAAAAAAAAAAAAAAAAAAAAAAAAGGTCTAATATTTCAGCTAAAGAACATTTCTATAAAATCACATTTTAAAAAGGACACACACACTCACAGAGAGAGGCAATATATATATTGAAATAAATTTTCGCAACATTCTACGCTACTCTTCCATGCGGTTTACAATGACCTCAGCCTTTTCCTCTTCTTCTACTGGAAGTAATTTGGAAAAAATGGCACGCAGACGAGGATTAAGCTTATCCGGTTCCTGATCAAACTGGAATATAAGATACCCCACAGAAAACATATAAAGAAGACATACTAAAATGTGTTTGGGATACGGTATCCACCCCAAACGATGCTGTGTCATAACAAAGGATCGAAGGGCATGCATCAAACAATACAGAGCCAAATCCATTCTCTTCCCTTTTGGTTCAAGCAGAGTTGCAATACCTGCAAGTGAACAGAAAATAGCAAAAAAAACACCACCACGAATATTCCACTGTGCAAAAACACACGCAAAACGCACAGTGCTGGCTGAATAAAGGGCCAAAAAAAGCGCGCTCGAAAGCACAGAAAAAAAAGTCTTTTGTATTAACTTAAATGGTCGTCTTCTTAGTTCTTTCCTTTGGTAAAGAAGAATGACACCAAGTTTCAGCGGAATATAAAGTGGTAAACCTACTTGAATCATGTTCCTTCCGATAAATGAGATAAAAAAGTGATTGCATGTCATTCCTGGATGAGTGAGCATACAACCAATTCGAAAATGCTCCCTCGGACTCTGAGGAATCTTCACTCCCCTTTCTATGCATAATTCTACTAATTCGGGGGTTAGCTGATACCTTGCAAGACCTGCATGGCCCCTAACCAGGCGGTTATCCAACATGGATGCTTTCGACAAAAATTGCTGATATGATGGGGGCAATGAAAAAGGGGCAAAAACGACGCTATAAAGAATTTGAGATGCACTTAAGCACATCACAAGAATGTCATAGTATTGAAATTGTTGTAAAGACTCTGGTAAAAGTGGTATAATATGACGCACAGCAAAGCTGTTTAACGCTCGCACAAAGATATAAAGACATAAATCGGTTCTGGTCTCTTTGTTCATGACAAGCACAGGCACGGCACAAACGGAACCCGAAACGGCAGCAGCAACCTTCTCAGTTATGCGGCAACATCGACCAAGTTTAAGAATAATCTGTTTTAAAAGCGGAAAGCAAGCCAGACCAGCAAAAATAGATGCCCATTTCAAAGGATCAAGGGAAAAAAATTCTTTTACAATCTGCTTAAACACAGTCGAGTGTAATCCCACTTTTCCTATGCGTTTCAGTATACCAATTAGAATCCTTCCCACTGCAGCGTAGAGAGCGTTCTGCAACGCGGCGACCGTGGTGCGACGTAGCAAACCTTTCGAGAAAAGTTGATCCCCTTTCCCAGAAATTACACGATATTCACTTAGTGAAGCTGACATTCGGTCTTCTTACCAAAAAAAAAAAAAAAAAAAAAAAAAAAAAAGATAGAGAGAGAGATTAAAAATCAAATTGAAAAGCAAAACATATTCATTTAAAAAGTTTATTTTAGGCAAATATATTTATGATCCATAATAATTTATTTTTATAAAAATTGAAGAAGGATATGATGCTCCAACTCAATAAATCAACAACAACACCAACAACAACAACAACAAAAAAAAAAAAAAAAAAAAAAAAAAAAAAAAATGGAGAATAAATGGAAAAAACTGTTGTGTAAAAAGAGAAAAAAATGGAAAGATCCCCTAGAAGTTTACCAAAAAAAGGTACTTTTTTCCATGTCAATCATTTCTTCAATTACCTCTCGGACAACGATCATCTCACCATCCTCTATTATTCTTGATTTTGCAGCCTCAATATTTACAAAATCAGCCTCCATAAATCGCCGTCTTCTTTCCCTTTCCTTCCTTCGCTTTTCCTCACGTTCTTTCCTTTTTCTTTCAGCCCTTTCCTGTGCAACTTTTCGTTTCAATTCTTCCATTAGCCTGGTACTTTCTTCAGCTTTCTTCTTTGCTTGGATTATTTCCTCCTTTTCCTCCGAGTCATCCACCTCCATAGTGACTGCAGCTATAGTTTTCCGCTGCGATTCACCAGAAACAAAATCAAATAGCGCAGTTATATAGCCTGGTTGCAAACTCATAAGTGCAACATGAGAAGATGTCAAACAGGATGACTCCTCTATACATTCGGTTGTAAAATCTTGAGGAAGTTCATTGTGTTCCGTCTTATTTTTATAAAGATCAACAATATGAAATAACTTTTTTTTTGAACTCCCTTCAACAGACCCACCAAGCTCAAGTGAAGTGGTGTGATTAGATAACCCAGTTTGTATCATAATACCTGTCCCAACAATTAAGGCTGTCGGCGGCAATGATGTATTCAAGTATTTTGGGGTGCTCCATCTCGTTCCTTTGTAGAAGGAATAAGTAATTTTATGCTCTCCCTTTGTATATGCTGACACGGCAATCTGATATTTTCCACTTTGAGAAAGAGCAGTTTTATCCACAACATCCAGAGGTATCTTGCTTTGAGCATTCCAAACCTGGCCATCAGATGAGTAGAAAAGCACATGATCAGTAGTAGAATTTTCTCTTACCACGACTGCATTCATAATATAAAGATTTTCTCCCGGGAAAAACAACGAGTTACCCTTAAAATTAATATCCTTGATCTCTTCCCCAGGCCAATAGTGGAACGACATCACTAAATCCTCCCTTGGCGTTTCCACAAGAGAATCTACCCATTCATAAGAAACAACCGTAACATTAATCACACTCGAGTTAATCTGCTTCAAGTTTAAAGGGCAAAAAAGAGAATTGTTTACAACAACTCCACGGTCTCCACAAAACGGATAATTTGTTTGCTGAACCAAAAAACTCCTGGCTCCATCGGATGTGCAAACCGCTGTTGCTTCTTGGGAACATTGGGGACAAGAATCCTGGTGAGCACGAGCACAGGCAACACCTTCTTTTAATACCACAGCACCCGAGGGTTGCCAAACGCCATGATCAGCATTTACATGAGTCACTCGAGTAGGCAATATTTCGAATGCTTCAGAGTGGCTCATAGCCAGCACTCCAAGAAAAAGAGCAATAAAAGCATAAAGCATTGTTTTATAGTTCAGTTAGTTATTATTTTTTTTTTATTTTTTGCATATGTGGAAACTTTGTAAAAAAAAAAAAAAGAAAAAAAATGCAAATATTGAAGTAATGATCTATTTTTAAAAAGAACCTTACAGAAAAAAAGGGGATGGCAAAATATATTAAAATAAATAAATAAATAATAATAATAATACTGATAATAATAGTAATAATAATATGGTGTAACAACCTATGAAAAAAACGCCGATTAATAATAATAATAATAATATCAAACAAAATCAATAAAAAAGGATTAATACCCAATATAACAATTCCTCCTCAAAAAATGCTAGTCTTTCTGAAAGTTGGTTACTTTAAGAGAAACATATGGGTACTCATACTGCAACATTCCAGTATCTGTTGGGGGTTCGTTCGTCAAGGGAGAGATTAAATTGGGGTAAATTTGCAATATTTTCTTTCGGATTTCCGCTTCTTTTTTGCCATCCACTTGTAGCACAACCGATATGCATCGAGGAGGCAAACCATACTTCAGGAGACTCTCAACAAAGACTCGAAGTGCTTTGACATGTACCCATGCCACATAGCAAAGAGAATACTGCTGCCAAAGTACTGTATAAAGTGCCTTCCGTTCTTTTTCAGCCTTTTGATTCAGTTCCTTTACTTCAGCTACCGATAAATCATCAACTCCATCAATGTCTCGAACCGTAAAACGTTTCTTCCGGCAGATCATTTTTACATCATCCATCGCTTTACGAAATGTAACAATGCTGTTAAGAACACATTCCTTATCTTCCGCAATCACACGGTTTGATTGGGGACAAACAAATTCATTGAGGGACCAATAAGTTTCAAGCCACTCCTTTTGAGAGGCCAAAGGTACAACAACAAATAATGTAACAAGCATTTCCGTGTCCACAAAACATTGAAACTTTTGATTGTAGGAAGCAACCAATTCCCTAATTGGTTTCACCGATAAATTCCCCTGCGTTTTTCGGTTCACAGCAGTTAGCCTATTCCGTGTTTCATTGTATTCACTTAATAATACACGAATACGCTCTTCTATTGACGCCGAAATTTGAGAAAGTTTCTCTATTAGTGACTGAATTTTTTCCCTTGTATCAAATTGCGCTGAACTCCAAAGAAAATTTTTGATATATGCAGCTGGAGTCATTTCTTGTGTTTGGTTAATACGAAGGGCAGAAACGACACTTCGTGGTTTCTGAGAAGTCTCTTCCATAAGGGCAATCAACTTTTCCACATTATTCTCAAGTTGGGGATCAAGCTTGGCAAGTTCATCACTTGCCTCTATTAATGAATCAAGTGTTCCCACCTTCAGCGTGGGGACAACAAACGGTCGGAGAGCTTGACCCAAAGGTCCCATCTCTGCCACAAGGCACTTAAACTGAGAGGATGGAAGAGTGTCATTGCACTGTGGCAAAAAGGGAAGGCCAAAAATAAGAAAATTTTCTGTCATGATACGTTTCGCTTCTTTTAATAAAGGAAGAAGGAGATAAAAACAAGGCAGATATATAGATAAAGAAAAAACTCCATATAAGAAAAAAACAACAAAAAACGTTCGCAACGGAAATTAATAACATTCCAAATAATAATAATAATAATAATAATAATAATAATAATAATAATAATAATAATAATAATAATAATAATAATAATAAATAAATAAAGAGCATTCCAAACCGCGAAAACAAGCAAAATCGCACAAACAACACCTCCCCTCGGGAGGTTCAACATAAACATCGCACTGGCACCAAAACTCGCAAACGCACAGAAAAAGGATCCAATACGCCTAAAAAAACGCCGTTCTTTTTCAGAAGAAACTAGCGAGCGGGATCGCATCTAACACTCGCCTGGTCGCCGCGCCTCCCGCGCCCTTTTCCAAAAAAAAAAAAAAAAGGAAGAAACGGCGCGCCGCGCGAGGGACGCCATCAAACGCCAACGCGCGGACGAGGCCAAGGACACGGAACGAAAGCGGAGAATACCACTCCAGAACCGCTTTGGCCCGCCGCGGCGCGGCGGACGACAGTACCGCACAGATGCGGGCGTATGTGTGTTTGTGTGTGTTCGTGATTGCGTGCCTACTTTTCAATCCTGGGGATTTTTCTATCAGACTCACGTTCTGTGACGGGTTCCAGCTTTTTTACTTCTGTTTTTGGGTTTTCTGGCAAATTATTATTTTTTTTTATTTTTAACAATTTCTGATGAAATTATTATTTCTTTTTTTTTTTTTTTTTGAATTTTTTTATTTTATTTATTTATTTATTTATTTATCTTAGTTGTTTTAACACGTATTTCAGTGTTATTTTTTATTTTCTTTATGGATCCTTTCAAAAGTGTTTTTTTTTTCTTCTTTTATTCATTTTTGTTAAGTGCCCTTGAATATGGAGTTTTTGGCCTATGAGGACGGGACTCTTCGTTCTGAGTTCTACAGAACTTCGGATGCTGTAGAGGAACCGATTTTTAATCCTAGAAAGGTCTACCATCAGGAATCGAAAGTATCTCGTTTTGTTTTGAATGGCAATCAGGAATTCACAGGTGAAGAAGGGGCCCTGGGCTTTATTCACAGTCCAAAAAGTGTTCTTTTTGATAATTTTACTGTAGGTGAAACGTATACAATGATAATGGTGCTGACAAACTGTGCAAGTCGATCCAAAACCTTTCGGGTTTTGCCAATTCCCATAAAGTATAGGGACGTATTACGTGTTGAATATGCCCCACCGCCAAGAATCTCAACAGGATTGTCGTGGAAAGTGCGGGTGATATTTACTCCTGAAGAAAATATGGATTTTGAGACGGCAGTTGGGTTTCGAACAGAGGAAAGGGTCTTTTTTGTCCCCGTAAAAGCCTACCGCAAAAGATCTTGTGTTTCGGTTGATCCAGAATGTCTTGATTTTGGCGTCGTTATCTTTGGTGAAAAATCCACAAGGGTACTAACTTTGAGGAATGATGGCGCTCTTGCCGCCAAAGTTTTTATTTCCGGATCCTTTAGAAAATGGATGGAGGTGTTTGCCAAGGATCCTCAAAACGATCAAGAGAGTCTTGTTTTGAGTATTAAACCCGTGGCAAATCAACTTTTGGTGAATCCATTTTCGACGTGTCGTCTAGAGGTGACATTTTCTCCGCACCGAGAAATCAATATTGATGATGAAATTGAGCTTCGTTATGATTCTGATGGGAAAGAACATATTCAGAGGGTTTCTGTAAAAGGTTTTGGCGGTTCGCTTCCAGTTTATGTTTCCTCTGCATCCATAATAGATTTTGGGTGGTGTTTCTACGAAAATAGGTATTGTGAGAAAATTTTGATAACCAACGCCACAAATGTATCGGTCAATGTGGTTCCCGAAATTCCACCCACACTGGCATCTTCGATGATTTTTTCCCCGGAAACAGCATGTATTCAAGCAAATAGTACATTTGATCTCTATTTTTTATTTACACCTTTTCGGGGTATGGAATCTAATATTTGTTCTGCTATTAAAATGATTGTGTCAGGGCAGACATCACCGATTGCGGTCACGTTGAAGGCTCAGATCACTGAAAGAGGATTTTCTTTGGAACCAAAGAAACTGGAATATGGCACTTCTAGTATGAACGAAGAAATTATTCTTCCTTTAAAAATAAGAAACAACTCGGATTTGCCCCAAACTGTGGGATTTTTAAAACTTCCTGTAAATGTACATGTAACACCATTTCAAACTATAATCCTCTTGCCGAAAGAGGTGTTTGAGGTTAAGGTTGGAGTTCGACCTCCTACATTGGGACAGTATACACAGATGATAAAAATGACCAATGAATATGGTGATTCCCAGAGTGTACAAATTACTGGATATGGCAATAAAAATGTCGTGCAATTTTTGAAGCCGTGTTTTAGTTTTCCAGCGTGTCCCTTTGGTGGAGAAACAGCCTGTACAAATGTATTGGAGAACCGTGGCTCTGTTCCTTGTGGTTTTCGTTTAATTTCTCCAACAGATGTTTTGAGAGTTTATCCTTCATCAGGGGTTCTTTATCCTGGAAAAACCATTCCAATTGTTTTGATATTTAGACCTCCAGAACCCCAACCGATCATTGTGACTGTAGAAGAAAATGTTTCTCGCCCAGGTGGAAAAGGTGCATTGAAAAAGCGTAAGGAAAGAGAAAATTTAAATGCAACTACAGGAGTTTTGGATCAAGAAGTGGTCTCCTTAGATACACTGTACAAGGACTGGGAAAGTAATGTAATAGATGAAGAATGGAGTAGACATTGCACTTTTTTGGTGAAATGTTTAAGTACTATGGAAACAGAGAAGTTTTTAAATTTACTTCAAGTTAATTGTACGGTTGTGAAACCAACATTGATTGCGCGATATCTTTCACGCAGCCTTCAAAAAATTGTGGTACAGAAGGTTTCGTCAAAACGCAATTCAAAAAAATCCCCTCCGTTGGTAAATCTAACAGAAGAAACATCTGTTGTTGAGGTGTCTGGGGGTGGTACACATCTTGATATTGATTTTGGTGAAGTACCGCTGAAGCACCTGAGTGAAAAAACATGTTTGTTGCAATATAATGGCGAGAGGTCTATCAGTTTACAGGTACGGCCCGTTAACACACTATCTCCATTTCGAATAGTAAAATTACCGCCTGCCAAATTATCTCATAAGGAAGAATGCACCATGGGTATTAGATTTCACCCCACAGAGTATGGCAATTTCAGAGAAACTATCAATATTGCATCCGTTGGTGCGAACGATATTGCGCTTTCTTTATCTGGTATTTGTCGACCGGCGGATTTGTTGATCACTCTCTCGAGTGATATTACAGGGGACCGTTTTAATTCAATTGACTATTTTTCGTTTGATACTGTACTTGTTGGGCAAGAGATTCGACAAACGTTGTATATTCACAATTTGGGCTCACTAACTGTTGAAGTAACTGCCAAACTTCTTTCCGCCGAGGGCAAAGAACTTAAATGGCCTGAGTCGCACTCTTTCATCATTGAATCAGATCGGTTTACCATTACTGGTAATTGTAAGGTGAGTATCATGTCTATTTTTTGTCCTCGAGTCGCTGGAACCTTGTCCGCCTTTCTTCAATTGAGCGCGGGTGCGTTTCATCACACAATTCTACTTAAAGGAAGGGCGTCCGAAAATTTGGTTTTTTATACCTTTCCAGAACAAAGCACTCAAATGACAGAAACTTCTTTTGTGTGTACTGGTCTGCAACCAGAAGTTTTTCCACCCGAAGGTTCTTCTCCCGCATATCCATTTCAAGTTCTTTGTGTTGCAGGAGAAACGAAGACTATAACAGTTGGATGTGTCAAACTAGGTGCGAGTTTCGAATGTATTGTCTGTGGTTGGAGTGAATCGTATCATGAAAATGGGTGGAAGTTAGAGCCTATGAAGGTCAATGTTCCATCAGGAGGTAATGTTTTGTTTACATTGAATTACAATCCAAAGCGGGAAATTGGTGATGTTTCTTTCTGTACTTTTTTCTTCATAACCAAATCTTCTCAGCCATTGGCCGAGACTAAGTGCCACGTTCGATGTACAGGAACAATGAAAGTTTAAATTTTTTTTTGTTTTTGCTATGGGATCCTTTTTTTTATTATTGTTTTTGCCATTTTTAGTGTCTTGTGCGTTTTATTTGAGAATATGTTTATCTTGCTGACATGCCTATAATAATAATAATAATAATAATAATAATAATTTTGCTTTTGCTTTTGTCTTTCATGTTTTATTTCTACTTTTTATTTATTTTGTAGGTATGATTTTTTTTGCTTTGGCAAGGTAGAAAAAAAAGGGAAATCTGGAAAAAGATTTTATGGAGTTGGCGTAGGCAAACTTTTTATCTTCATGTTTCGTCGGTGCTTACGTCTTTGCGACTTCTCTGTTCTTTTGGCTACTTTTGAGCCTTTTGAACTATATGGGAGCAAGGATACGGGGATTTGTGAAATGGTAGTAAACAATAAGAAGAATTCTCTGAATCTATTGGATCGATCATTTTTTTCTTCTTTATTGAAAGCGACAAATTATCTTTCAAGTGAACTTAATGGGGTTGCACGGGTAGGGATTTTAACGTCAAAAGAGGGAACTCCTTTTTCTGCAGGTTTAGATTTGAAGCAATTGCAGGAGTTAGTAAAGGGGCCTTCGAGCTCCGCTACGACGGGTGAAAAAGCAGTAAATTCTTTTGGGATGCCGGCAATGCAGTTTCAACGACAACATGCGGAAATTCGACTGTTTCAGTCGAGTGTTTCTTCATTGGCTCGTTGTTCTATTCCCATTATATGTGCAATTGATGGTTATTGCATCGGTGGAGCTACATCTATTATTACGGCTTGTGACTTCCGTTACGCCACTGAAAAGGCTTTTTTTTCCGTAAAAGAGGCGCAAGTTGGTTTAGCGGCTGATCTCGGTGTCCTTCAACGGCTACCACGCATTGTAGGGGAGGGCCGCGCACGGGAATTGGTATACACGGCCCGCTCCTTTAATGGAAAGGAGGCTAAGGAAATGGGTCTTGTGGAGGAGGTTTTTGAGAGTCGGGAAGAAATGATCGAGGCGGTTCGCAAAACCGCCACTTTGATTGCATCAAACTCTCCTTTAGCTGTTCAAGGATCAAAGTTGTTAATGAATCGTCAGACGGAGCCAGATGTGGAAAGAGGGCTAGAATATACCGCATCGTGGAGTGCAGGAAATGTGGCATGTGATGACGTTTTGGAGGCGGCTGCGGCATTTGCGAAAAAAAGCCCACCACTTTTTAAGAATTATGTGGTAAACACCAGTTCTACTGTAACTTGATCTTGAGAACAATCCTTTTAAGGTCGTTGAGGTTTCCCTTGCTTCAATTTTTTTTTTTTTTTTTGTGTGTGTATGTGGGGGGGGGGGGACGAGGTGGAGAATGGTTTACTTTCTTTTTCCTCTTGGCCTATTGACTGGTAATTGTGGCTGCTGGTAACCTCTATGGGGGGCAGGCGTATACGGTGTGTGTGTGTGAGTTCTATTTGCTGCAGTTGCTTACGCACTCACTTTACTCTCCCCTGCCTACCCCCGTTGTATTGCACTCCTATTTCATTCCTCCTGCCTTCTCACAGCTAATTGAATATCCAAACCAAACAAAAGGGAATTGCGAGGAAAAAAAAAAGAAAAATGAACTACGCAGCAGTAATCAACGGTCCGTTTTCAAGCAACAACGGCAACAACCACTACTCACGTTTGGGTTACACCCCCAATGGTTATGGTCCACAGCCGAACACAACAGAGCAAAATCCACAAATGGTCCCATATCAAACGTTTAATAGTGCCGCCGGACAGCCAGTAAATGTTTACCAACAGATTCCCCCAACTTCTGCATCAAGGGATCCTAGGACGAACATCCATATTGGAAGCAAACTTTTTGTGGGACAAGTCCCCGCCATGACGACAGAAGAACAATTACGACCGGTATTTGAGCCTTATGGGGAACTTTTAGAAGTAAAGATTATGCGTGATCCCTTGGGACGTTCAAAGGGAAGTGCTTGGGTGCGCTACGAGACAAATGAAATGGCCATGAATGCCATAAACGCTCTTCACGAGAAACATACAGTCCCTCCTCAGACCAATCCATTACGAGTGCAATTCGCCACTCCCAACAGTGTGAGGCATCAACAACTCCAAGCAAGATACGCCGTCGAGCTAAAGGTTCCGATGAATCAATACAACTTTGGAGGCCAAATGGGAGGCGGCACGCAGCAGAGTGGAATGGTAATGCTGCGATCTGGTGCCTCCCCAAATGTTGTTCCGCCTATTTCCGCGAATGTTGGAGGACGGTACATGTCCGCGCCTTTTGGAGGCGGCCCAATGGAATCTTCTTCTATTATGAGTGGACCATACACGTCTTCTGCAAATTGTTTTGACGGTGTTAATTCCTCTGGAAATCGAAGAGATTTATATTCGCCCTTGGAGCAGCCGCAGGGCACAGCACCACAGCTGTATCAACAACAACAACAACAACAACGGGGTGGGTTTTCCAGTCCCGTTGTCACACCACCGAGTGTTTACAACCAGGCGTCCTCCACAAGGCAACCCACCGCTCGGAATAACAACACCAAGAGTGGCGGTGGCATAAGTATGGGATCCTTTGAGAGTGGGCATGGTATGGTCAACCCTAACAGCAACGGAGCACCCACAATGGCGAATGAAATGTCTACTCTTGACGCCGGAATTGCTCTTTGGGAGGCGAGGAACAACAATGGTTTACAGGGACAGGAGCCGCGGGAAGCAGCAGCACGAGTTCGCTCAGGTGAAAGGAAGGAAGAATAGTCATTTTTGTGCTGAGGATTGGGCCGCAGCAAGAAGCTCAATACCCACTACTACAAGCAAAGGTGCCAATAAGAAGAGGAAAACAGAACAATCAGGAATAAAATATGCAGCACGGATGTAATAACGGAATTCCCATTTAATATTTTTATGACTTACTTTTTTTTTTTTTTTTTTTTTTTTTTGAGTTATATTTTGGGGTGCAGTGGACTCAGCAACATTTTATGCAGGCAAAGATGACAGGGAGTGGTTCGACTCTTCCTCCCAATTCTGTTTATTTTTATTGTTCATTATTACTTACTGGTCTGGAGATGAGAGGAGAGCGTAGGCGCCGGTTTTGCCAGGCGACCGGATGGTGATTTTTTAAAGCGCAAAGCTGAGAGGAAGACGTCAAAAGACTTCCTCCTATATGATTTCTGGCAGATACATGCACAAATGCGAGGGAATCTGAAAACAAAAATAGTCTTTGTTTGGGTTCAATCAAATTGAACATGGGGAATGGATGACGGAAAAGGTAGCTAGGTGACGTTACCGTTAAAAGGAAGAAAAGAGATTCCGCGCTTTTAGCCTGCACGTTGGTGGCGTGAGTACAGCGGCATACATCCAAATATTTATATTTGTATATCTGTTCTATGTCTATTTGTATGTGATGTTTATGCGCTGGAAGAAAAGAGTGCGGGTGAGGGAGAGAGAAGAACGGGGGATGCGGCGGCTTCCTCTTACTGGCTTTGGTGGATGTTTATTGTTTGGTGGATTCAGTTTCCTTCTCATGATTCTGCCACATTTTGCTGCTTCTTCCAGCTTAGGCGTCCACACCGACCAACTTTGAGGGTTTGCGGAGCTGGAAATAAGTGGAGGCACAAAAGTAAGAGCAGAAAGGAGGATGAGAAACATAGATACATACATACATCCTTCTGTACGAGAATACCATGCATTTTTTTTTTTCTTTTTAGGAGGGCCAGTGGTATATTGGGGGAAGGGATACTCTTTATCGATGAGTTCGTCATCGGGTTAAGGCGGCAATTTGTACACAATATTCCCTTTTGTATTTGTTTATTTGTGAGTCTATTCACCACTACCACAAAGTTATTGTTTCCGTTTTTTGTTACGATATGGACGGAGACGCATCCACGTTTTTATTGGTATTATGAATCCACACGAGACCAAGAATAGAAGGAAAAGAATAAAAGGAGGATAATTAATTAAGAGGAAAATAAAATAAGAAATATGGCAGTCAAAGCAAAATTTATGCACAGCGCTATTTTTTTTTTTTTTTCCTTTCTTTTTTCCTTTTGTATTCATTATGAACTCTTCTTATTCCTCCTTCTCGACAACCGTTACCGCTATCTGCAAGCAACAAAATGCACATTTTCTTCGGGTTCATCTTACAAAGTGCGGATTTTCGCCTTATTTTTGAGGGAGGAGAAAGTCCAAACGAGGGTGAGAGGACGGCGCGCTTGTACTGGCGGTTACTCTCTTTGACGTCCGGAAGGACAGATGGGGGTTAAGAGGATTAGCGAAGAGGACACATATATTTATATATTTATTTAAAATGTAGATATGTAATTGGTGATCTCATCACTACCATTAATTCTACTCGTGAAATGGTGGTTATATGTGAATAATAAATAAATAAAAAAATAAAAAAAGGCTTGGTGGGAAAAGTATTTGCGAACAGAATGAAAAGAGGAAGAAAGAACAAAAATGGAGTGAGAGGGGAGTGTTTGATTGGTAGAGCTGTGTTAATTTGTTGAAGCTCAACGTCATTTTCTTTGGGCGGTGAGTTGCCTTAACCACTTTTTTTTTTTTTTTATTGATTGTTTATTGTTGTTGTTGTTGGTGTTGTTTTTCCTTCTGCGCTCTCTCTTTTGTTTCTCCACTGCCAGCCTCTCCCTTGCCATGCCTACGGGTGCGTTTACGCCTTTGCAATTCTGAATCTGTGTGATATTTCCCCATATGGGCCGAGAGGGATCATAGTTCATTGGGAAGTGAGTGTACGCCCCCATTGTGTGTATTGTTTTTTTTTTTTTTTTTTTTTTTTTTTTTTGGATCTGACATCATTTCGGTTTGTTTTTGTGTACCTAAAGAAGATATGGAAAAGAAAAAAGAAAAAAAAAAAGGAGAAAAGGTTTCTTTGAGAATTTGTGCATCAAAGTGAATTGGGGAAAGGGCTAAATAGATAGATATATACATTTATATATATTTATATAAATGCGACGGATGAAAACGGTGAAAGCAAAACAAAAAGCACAAAGGGTGTTATTTTTCAATGATTTTTATGTGTATTTTTCTTTGCTTCCCTTGCGTGTACGTGTCTCTTATCTACCAAATTTTTTTTTTTGTTTTTTTTTTCCTTTTTTCTTTTTTTCTTTTCTTTTTGTTTTTTGTTTGCTTTACACGAAAATGGTTTGTTTTTATGTTGTAGTTGTTGTCTTGCGTGCGTTCGTCTTGCGGTCGCTCACTCTTTTTTTTTTTTTTTTTTTATTGTGTGTGTGTGTGTGTCTGTTATTTTGTGCACCGCGCCTCGTGACGCATACGGCACGGGTGAATTTTGAGGGGGACGCCACGGACACTCGAATGGACGCATACCCGCAGCCCCGTTATTGCAGTCACGGTCCCCAAATAAAATAGAGGAATATTTGTAACGAAGTACCAGAAAAGGGAACAAGTAAGAAAACCCCCCCCCAAAAAAAAAAAAAAAAGCAAAAAAAAAAAATAAGAGACGAGGAGGAAGAAAACACACTCACGAAAATAAAAATAAAAAATAATAGAAAATACCTTTCCTTTTCAGGCGCGTGTCTTTTTTTTTTTTTTTTTTTTTTATCTGAGCGGATCAGATGTCAGCGAGTTGAAATTGTAATTGTTTTTACCACACGATAAGACCCTTTTACGCTTCGTAAAAGGCACTTGAGGCACGTAAAAAAATCGGTTTCGGGTGCGCACGGAAGGAGCACACACACACACACACAGAGAGAGAGAGAGGGAGAGAGAAAAGAAAGTTGAAAAGGAACTGCCTTTTTTTCCCCTTTTTGCTTCCACTTTTTTCTATTTATTTGTTTAATCATCATAAAAATGTTTGTTGTTTTTCTGTGCATCCGCGTGTGGTTTCTTTTCCGCCCTTTTTACTGACGGCTCTTTCCTTTGGGCGCGAGATGGCGGGGGTGGTGGGAGGGGGGTGCGTGAAGCCCGTTAAGGACTGTGTATTGGGGAGAAGAGATATAAATAAATAGCTCAATAGATCTATGGATTTATTTTGCTAACGGGGGAATACGGATTTGCCAAAAGGAAACAGCATTAACATTAATGAGAAGAGCAGAAGCCAAATGAAAGTCAAATCAACGGAGTGGAAAAGCGATAAAAGGAACAAAAATATGGAAGAATTTGTGTGTGCGTGCGTGCGTGTTTGTGTGTGGAGAAGTAAAAATAAAAATGTTTTGTTGCTGACGTTATTATTGGGTGCCTTTTTTTCTTGTTTTTTTTCGGCAATTTTTTTTCTTTTTCTTTTTTTTTTTTTTTTCTGTAGGAGGAGGAGGGGAAGTGGGGGAGGAAAGGGTTATTATTATTATTATTATATTTTTTATGGTTTGCTGTTTTCGCCCCATTTCGTTGTAAATATGACAATTTTTTCTTTTTTTTTTTTTGCTTTGATTTGCTTGCGTTCTCTGGTAGGGGAGGTGACCGCTTAATTCTCGTCTTCACCTACTTACAACTTCCCCCTTCTTTCTCTCTCTCTCTCTCTTTTTTTTTTTTTTTGTTTGTTTTGTTTTGTCTTTTTTTCCCCCTTTTTATGTGCGTAACCTTCTGAGCCGAGGAAGAGGGCGGGGGAAACGGGAAAAAAAAGGGGGTGGAGGAGAGGGGAAGGGGTCAAAAAAATTTTTTTTCTGTGTGGTGTGGTGCCTTTAATTTATCTCTGTGCGCACGTGTGTCTTTACCATTTGCACAAGAGGGTGAAAAGGAGGCAGGTGCTGTGGACGTGCTACGCATGTTTACGGGTGCTTCTCACCCCGTTCTCTTTTTTTTTTTTTTTTTGATTTTTTAATTTTTTTTTTTTGTTTGCCCACTGCTGTTTTGTGTACAAAAAGAAAAAAGTAGGATCAATTTCTTTTTTTTTTTTTTTTTTTTTTTGTGTTGTTGTTGTTGTTTTGTTTTCCTCTCTTTTATTTTCGGCGTCTTCATTCCTGTTTCTGCTGCTGCCCCTTTTCATTTGTGTGTCCCTTTCACATTGCGGCGGCATTTTGCTCACGGGTTCCTTTTTTTTTGTTGTTGTTGTTGTTTTTGTCTTTGCATTTAATGTGAGAGCGAAAGTTGCATCATTGTAGAAGGCATAAAGAGAGAGAAAAAAGAAGGAAGGAAGGAAGGTGTGCCTGCTTTTCTGAAGAAGAAACGGAGAAGAGATGTCCTCTAGAGCTTGTGCGTCCTCTATTAAGATTGTGCTATGCGGCCCCAGCAACGCCGGCAAGACGTCGATAACAAAACGTTTCATTACCGACACGTTTGACGAGTACCAGGACACAACAGTTGGTTCAGCATTCTTTTCCAAGCAGCTTTATTCAAAGGCACACAACACGAATGTACGTGTGGAGGTGTGGGATACTGCTGGGCAGGAAAAATACCGCGCAATGGCCCCGATGTACTTTCGTCATGCTGCTGGAGCTCTGCTTGTATTTGACGAGACGGTATTGAAGTCCTTTGAAGAGCTTGAGGCCGTTTGGCTGCCCGAGTTGCTGCCCCACATGAATGACAGTACCGAGTTTATTGTCGTTTGCGGAAACAAGTGCGATGCCGTTTTGACCGAGGAACAACGTGAAAGTTTGCAAAAAGCACAAGAGGCTTGTCGTGCAAGGGGCATAACGTTCTTACATACCTCTGCGAAGAAGGGACACAATGTCCACGAGTCATTTGGGGGTTTGGTAGATAGAATTCTAACGAGACGTGAAAAAGAGGCAGCAGCTGCACTGGCTGCTGGAGCAAACGGTGGAGATGGACGTGCCAAGAGCACCCTGGCCACGAGAATAGGAAGTGGGGATAACGGAGGTATTAAGAGGAGCAACTGTTGTTAACGAGTTTTGAGATTTAGCACTGGAAGCGCCGTTGCGTATCAACAAGTTGACGCGTCTGTGTAGCCTCAATCGTAAGTGAAAAATGGAACTTTTAAAGTTTATAGGACTAATGGGAGGCCCCGCGTCCTGCTTTTTCGAACATTGAGCGATCCGTAACTGCTTTTTTTTTTTTTCTCCTTTTTTTTTGTGTGCCTTTGGATCTTTTTGCGAGCTTTTTTTTTTTTTTTTCATCCTCATTTTCCTGCTTTTTTTTTTTTGTATTTTTTTCTCTACTTGTACTTTTTTTGGAAACAATAGAAAACACTGCTTGTTTTTGCGCAAGAATGAAAATACAGGTTGCACAAAAGTCATTTCATCTTGTTTTCTTCCTTTTCTTGTTTGCAGAAACCTGAAGATGCTCCCTATCTATCAATGTATTTATTTATGAGCTGATTTCTGCTATGGATTTGTTTATATATATATATATATATATATATACTTTTGGTGTTTCTTTTTTTTTTTTTTCTCTCTCTCTCTCTCTCTCTCTTTTTCTATTTCTCCCTCCTTGTCCGTATGCATGTTTGGGGTTTCATCACATTAGGGACGTCGCCACAAAAGACTGTTTCTAAAAGAATATTGGTAAGGATTGTGCTTTGCGGACCATCACAAGCCCAGTAGGAGGATTTGTCGTGACGGGAATGAGTTTTAACCTGGACGACCTTTTTGATACAGGGTCCCGACAGCAGCAGCAACAGCAGCATGGAGGCCCAACATACATGCCTCCACCGCCACCCAGCGATCCACCACCACCACCAGTTTTTATGCAGCAAGATCAATTTGGTGTAAATGCGACAGCGCTACCACCACCACCGCCACCGCCACCCCCAGCAGCAGCAGCAGCGGCACAAACGGTGCAGCCTTTTGAGGCGGTCGGTCATGCTCCTATCATGACTGCACCTTATCAAACCTATTACGCCCCCTCACCCACTCCACAGGCGTACGGCGGGAACGGATATGCACTGTCTTCTCCACCTGTCCCGTCCAGTGAGTCACCATCTGCACTTTTACCACAAGCGGCGTATTACACGGCACCGACACCAAAACCGGTGGCCTATGGCTCGTCGTATCAAACTTCTCCGGGGGCACCAATTGTGTCTCCCTCTACTGTACCTCCTACTTTGCAGAGTACTGCTATGCCCTTTGTGCCTTCGCCGTCTCACCCTGAGCCCGCGATCAAGGCACCCACTGCCAGTAATAGCACCTCTGTACTTGCCCAGGAAGAAGAGGACAGGAAACAGTTGGAAAAGATTATCCAACTTCGCAAGGAATTGGAAAAGGAACGCGAACGCGAGCGCAAGAAGCGTGAGGAACTCGAAACTTGGGGTTGTCCTTCTTGTACGTACAGGAATTCACTGGAAGTGAACCGGTGTGAAATGTGTGATTCGAATCGTCCAGGCTACCATCCTCCACCGGATGTTGTTCCTCCTTCCACAATAAAAAGTGATACACATTCGTCATCCAGTTCACCTTTAAAAAAGGTTGCGATATCGTCAGAAGTGGCTGGACCAACGGCATGGGTTTGTAGTATTTGTTTGGCTCCAAACGAGGCGCACAATTCTCGTTGCAAAGTCTGCCGTAGCTATCAAAAAAACGGCAAACCTATTACTGGAGGTAATGGAAATCCTACAGGTGCTACGTCAGACGTTTCTATGCCACCAACTGCTTGGCTATGTGGAATTTGTGGTAAGAAGAATGCTGCCACTGCGGCGCGGTGTGGAGATTGCAACAGTTACCAGAGCAACGGGGTGCCTGTGGTGGACCCTGAGCCCAAGGCTCAAATAGTAGCGGAAACGGTTCCTACAACGTGGAAGTGTTCAGTGTGCACATTAGAGAATTCTGTTAGCGCTGCAGTGTGTGAGGCGTGCCAGAGTGGGCAACGTCCGCGTCACCTTGCTCCACCAAAGACAAATGAGAAGAAAAAATCAGGGAATGAACCGCGTAAAAATGACGTTCCTAAGACGTGGTCGTGTTCAACATGTACGTACCAAAACGCCATCGCAAAAGAGAAGTGTGAAATGTGCTCCAACGAGCGTCCTTCACAGTACAAACCACCATTGCCATCGGGAGCAAAGAAAGAAGCTGAGGATTCAGGTGAGGATATTCAGTGGCAAGAGGATGAGGTCGCACGGGAGTGCAACAGGTGTCATCTTCCCTTTAACTTCACACGACGCCGACACCACTGTCGGGCATGCGGATTTGTGTTTTGCGGTGCGTGCTCCTCCTTCCAATTAGCACTGAAAAAGAATGGCCCACTTGAGCGTGTGTGTGTGAGTTGCTACGAGGGTCAGAAGTAGGAATGAAGAGAATTTATATATATCTAGAGCGGAAGGAGGGAAGGATAGAGAAAAAGGAAAACCTTTTCTCGTACTTAAAAAAAGAATGTGAAAAACATGCTTCATCAGTGAATTGGTGATTACCTTCTTTCCTTTTTCCTTTGTCAGTGCTTCTGGTTTAAAATACATCCACTCTTCGATGCCGGATGAACTGTGCGCGGTTGTTCTTATTGTTTTCCCTTTTCACTATTGTGTGTTCACGTTTATTTGTGTCCCTGTGCGCATGATACCTAAACCAGCAGGGGAAAGTGGATGGGAGGCAGATGGAGTTCAACCGTAAACCCTGAGGACAATGTTTTTTCGGCAATTTGTGGATGTTGGATGCCCTTGTCAGGGCTGCTTCTGCTTCGTAAGTTTTTGATGAGAGGGATTGGAGTTTGTGGCGGGTTTTAGTGAAATATCTCTTTAATTGTCCCTCTCTACCTCTCTTGATAAACATATATATATATATATATATATATATATATATTTATTTATTTATTTATTTCTATTTCTATTTAGTTATTTATTTATTTATATAAATATATTATTTGGTTAAGTTTATGAGGATTTCTTGTCGAACATATTGGTATATATGCTGTACGCATGGCGCTGAGGATGGATTTTTTGTGTGCTGCCTTCTGCAATGATGCGATGTTTTTTGTTTTTTTTTTACTTGTTTCTACATTTGCCCCATCAATAACAAACACAAAATTCAGTGATTCTTGTGATTCTTCACAAGGGAAACCGAGCACACATAGGCAGGTGCTGGTCACTCATAGTTTTTCCCTTTGCTTTTTTAAGAGTGTGGTGGGATAACGACGAACCAATGGGATTTTTTGACTCCGATCTCAGTTACCCGACGGTGCGCTCCGAGCGCATGAAGCACAAGCGCCGCCGCTTGGTGCAGGGACCCAACTCGTACTTCATGGACGTGAAGTGCCCGGGGTGCAACGCCATCACCATTGTGTACAGCCACGCCACATCGGAGGTGCAGTGCAATGGCTGCGCGACAAAACTCTGCCGCCCGACAGGAGGAAAGGCGATGTTGACAACCGGCTGCGGCTTCCGCAAGAAGGCTGACCACTAGGCAGACGAAACTGCGAGGATTGACACCCCCTGTGCATTACTGAATCGCAAGATATATTTCTTTTTTATTGCGAAATTACCGCATATTTTTTTACTTTTTAAAAGCTCTTGGCCCTTTTTTTTTGACCTCACCCACAGTTTTGCCTTGACATTGATGGGTGGAGGGAGAAGAGAAAGGGCCCTTGTTATTTTTGTATCGCCGCGCTTTTGAAGGAAAGAAATGCTTTTTGTTCTTCACACATTGTAACCTTCCTTTGCCCTATCTTCTGCTGCATATGAAAGGAAGAGGGAAAACCAGACGGGATAGATTACTTTTATTTTGGAGGGAAAGAAAGCAATAAAGAAGCAAAATAGACGGAGCAACGCTCGAATGAGTGTGAAGGACGGAGGAGAGGAGAGCGATGAGATGCTGGAGCGTCTTGCGGCACACCTTCGCGAGCCCCCCACCTTTCCTTCCGTGCCGATTTACGCTCTGCCGGATCAGCAGTATCTTGAGGCCACTGTGCTTCCGTTGCTTCTGCGAGGCCTTGAGGAGGTGGCAAAGGCGCGGCCTGCTGATCCGTTGGCTTTCCTCGCAGCATACCTCTTGGGAAATAATCCACAAAGGACATCGCATTCTCTGATGGGAGATGAGGGACGGCGAGTCCCGTTGCAAGGAATTGCTCAAATGGCTGCTGATATCATAAGCCGAAAATAGACTTTGATGACATTGCAAGTGGATGCACGCGTACTGGACCTGGTGGAATGCGTGTGTGTGTTTGTGTGCGCCAGGGTGCAATTGGGAAGATGGTGCACTGTATGGCCTCTTTTCTATTCATCCGTGTTGTCGAACATGTATAATATTGGTGTGCGTGCCCATGGTTGGTAATAAGCTTGTAATGATACGTCAAGAGGTTTTTTTTCACAGTTTCTCCTGTTTTTTTTTTTTAAACTTATTTTTGGTGCTTTTGATTTTTTTCTTTTATCTTATTTTTTAATTTTATTTTGCTTGTGATATTATCAAGAGGGAATTAGTTGGCGAACCAGGCGTTGTGCGTAAGAATTTTGGGGATGTCCGATAACCATCAATTGGAGTACAAACGTGGTCTGGAGGATGCCAGGCGTCATCGCTCCCGCACAGAGGATAACTGGGTGCGTGCGAGTGTGGGACCATTACTTTGGTTTGGTGTACCCTTTGCAGTGGCGTGGTTGTATCTGCGCCGACAGGCACCCGCTAGCGCCAAAATTAATCCCTTTGAGGGTATGATGGAACAAATGATGCCCATCAAAAAACGACAATTCCGTGTGGATGTCAAGGGCACTAAGTTTGAAGATGTGATTGGTATTCCTGAGGCGAAACAGGAAGTGCAGCAGTATGTGGAATTCCTCACAAGTCCCAACAAGTTTACACGACTTGGCGCCCGGTTACCGAAGGGGTGTTTACTCACCGGTGAGCCTGGGACAGGGAAAACACTTCTGGCAAAGGCTGTGGCTGGGGAAGCGGATGTGCCTTTCTTCAGCTGCAGCGGATCTGACTTCATTGAGCTGATGGGGGGCAGTGGACCAAAGCGGGTGCGAGAGTTATTCGAGGAGGCGCGAAGCTCGGCGCCGGCTATCGTATTTATTGATGAAATTGATGCTATTGGTTCCCGTGCAGGTAAGATAGGTGGTTCAGTGAGCAGTGAAGAGAATCGAACTATTAACCAACTGTTGGCGGAGCTGGACGGGCTGAATACGGGCACAGACGCTATTATTGTAATAGCCGCGACCAACTTTCAGGACAACATCGATAAGGCACTTCTTCGAGAGGGACGTTTTGACCGGAAAGTAAACATTGAGATGCCAGATAAGGCGGCACGCGTGGATATCTTCAAGCATTATTTAAATCGTGTGGGCACTGGTGATCCCCGTGGACGCAAAGTGGACGAAGAGGGAGAACCACTGCCAACAAATGAAAACGTGGACAATCTCGAGCTGGCGAGGGAGTTGGCCGACCTAACCCCAGGCGTTTCGCCTGCAACGATTGCAACGATCGTAAATGAGGCAGCATTGCAGAGCGGTATTCGCGAGAAGAGGCTTGTGGATAAGGAATCCATACTGGAGGCGGTGGACAACACACTCGTGGGTCGCAAACATCGCAATCGCCAGAGTGTTACCTCTTTGCGAAGGACAGCCATCCATGAGGCAGGCCATGCACTGACTGCTTGGATGCTTCCTTCTGTAAAGCAGGTGCTAAAGGTCAGCGTTGTGCCACGTGGTCATGCACTGGGATACACGCAACGTGCAGGTGCCGAGTATCATGAATATCAAACAAACGCCACACTCTTGGCGGACATGGTCGTCATGCTTGGTGGGCGGGCTGCTGAAGAAACAATTTTGGGAAACCCGTCTGCTGGCGCCATGGACGACCTTCAGCGTGCGACAGACCTTGCACTTAAGCAAATGATGGCATTTGGAATGGATGCCAACGCTGGTTTGCTTTCGTACCACCCAGAATCCACACAGGCGGGTCGTATTTTTGTGAATTACTCAAACACGGCTCAACGCATTGCTGAAGAAGAGGCTAAAAAACTTGTTTCGCTTGCTTATGAGCTTGCTGTGGGAATTGTCAAGGCGAACAAAGCTAAGTTGGATGCGATGGTAACTGAACTTGTTGATAGGAAAGAACTGTTGACGGGTGACTTGGAACGTTTGTGGGGAAAACGCCCCGTGTCGCCCACGGTGGAGCAGCTTGTGGGGAAGCTTATGACTTTACAGGGGAATTAGAAACAATAAAGGGAAAAGAAAGAAAACAAATTGTGGGTGTAATTTTGACAGCGGTCAAGAGGTTTCCATGTCATTGTACGCGCGTGAAAAAAAGAATTTTTTTTTGTTTTCCCTTTTTTTTTTTTTGTGTGTGTGTGTGTGTGTGGGTGTGCTATGGATATGTATATATATATATTGTTGTTGTTCTTGTTCCTGTTTTCTTTCTCTCTTTTTTTTTTCTTTTTTGCTGCTGTTTGTGCAGGTGCTATTGCCAGCAACAAGAACCACGGAGGAAAGCTTAATTTGCTGAGGGAAGATTCTTAGAAGAAGGAAGCGGAGTTCAGTTTCCCAACCTTTCTCGCGTTTTTTCTAACCAAACAAGCACACACACTAACACTCTCACCCACAATCAAACTACTACATGTCGAAGATTCCTCCCGCACAGCTCTCGGAGGCCATTCAGGCAGTCCTCACAAACCGCAAGGAGCGTAAATTTAAGGAGAGCATTGACTTGCAGGTGAATTTGAAGAACTACGACCCGCAGAAGGACAAGCGTTTCTCGGGCTCCGTGCGTCTTCCCCACGTTTGCCGTCCCCGTATGACTGTCTGTCTGCTGTGTGACCTTGTGCATGAGGACATCGCCAAGAAGAACAACGTCCCGACAATGAACCAGGAGGAGCTGAAGAAGTTGAACAAGAACAAGAAGCTGGTGAAAAAGATGTGCAATCAGTACGACGCCTTCCTCTGCTCAGAGTCTATCATCAAGACCGTGCCTCGTCTTGTCGGTCCTCATATGCATCGTGTTGGCAAGTTCCCCACAGTGTGCGCCATGAGCGAAAGCCTGCCGGAGAAGGTGCTGGAGATTCAATCGACGGTGAAGTTCCAGCTGAAGAAGGTGCTCTGCCTTGGCACATGTGTCGGTCATGTTGAGATGACGGAGGATCAGGTGCGCCAGAACACCGTCATGGCCATCAACTTCCTCGTCTCACTGCTGAAGAAGAACTGGCAGAACCTCAAGTCTGCCTACATCAAGTCGACCATGGGGAAACCGCAGCGCATTTACTGAGCACGTGGGTAACAGACCAAGATGATAAGAAAAAAGGATACGTGAAGAGAGAGAAGAGTGAGAGATGGAGAATTGTGAGTGTTTGTCTGCTTGTTGGAGAAGATGTTTGGGAGAGATGAGGTTGTGGTCAAACGAGGGAATGTTTTTATCAGGAGAAGTAAGAGAGGCGGAAGGGCTGAGGGGGATGGAGCACTCCTCATTGTGTCCATGCGTCCTCCAGCACCCCTCCTTTTCCGCTTTTTTTTTTTTCTCTTGTTCCCGCCCAACTCGTAACTGCTTCTTCTTCTTCTGGTTTCTTCCTTTCATAATTTCCCGGTTCTTGCCGAGGACGCGCCCCGCGAATTGCGAGTCGTGTTTGACGGAAGTGCAGCATCATTTATTTTTTTATTTTATGTTTTTTTTGGGTAAAAATATTCACCAACATACAAACAAAAAGAACACCGGCAACGGCAATAGAATCCGGAAAAGTGGCGGTGACATCGACTGCCGTATGCTGTTTCTTTTTCTTTTTCTCTGTGCGTGTGGATGCCTGTGTGTTATTCATTGAATTTTTCTTATTTCGTTTCCGTTCTGTTGTTTTATAGGCGTTCTTCGGGATCCGTCTCCCCACGGCAGCACCGAACGGGGGAGAGCGGTCACTGGGCCAGTTTATTATCGAATCATCCGTTTATTATGATTATTTTATTTTTCAGTCATTCTTTTTTGAACGCTTCCATTTGGCGATGTGCTTTGCACCGCCCCGGAGGCGGAGAACAGGCATAACGGCAGCAACATCGTCTTTCAGCAGACGGCTGCCGGGGAATATGCCTGGGCCACCCTCCGTTTCTCCTTTTCGGCGCCGTGCGACGTCGAGTTACCACGCTCCACCGCGTGAGGTTGTGGAGGAGCAAACGCGGCGATATGCGGAGGACATTCGCAGGCGACAGCCGCCGCCTGCTGGCATTTCCATTCCCGCATCACACTCACCCCGTCGGGACTCTAAAGGTGGAAAAAAGATAACCCCAGCGAAGGAACTGGGCGGCTTGCACTCACTACGCGGTCGCGTCAGGGTAAAGGAACAGAATGGTGATGCACTGAGGTCATCGTCCCGTGATGCCGGAAAAACGCTCATGGAGGCTTCAAGAGGTCAGTGGACGCATGGACAACTGGATACGCCAGCTTTACCGTTCCCTTCTAATGATGCCGTCTTGCCAAATCAAAGAAGTTATTACAGTGATATGAACCACGATCTTTATTATCAACATCAGAAGAAACGGCGGCAGCGGCTTTCCGGTCTTCATCGCCGCAGTGATGCCTCTTTCAGGATGGGTGACGAAGTCGGCGAGGAGTACGTGAGTAATCCATATATCCGTTCCGTGCTGCAAGGTTCGGAGCAGCGTTGGAATTCACCATCGTTGTTCCACGCCTCTTTTAGCCACCAAAGCCGCAGTCAGAGCCTTGACCAATACTACACGGCAGCCTCACCATATCTTTCACGCCACGATTTGATGCGTGAGCAGAAAAGGGTAATACACCGCAGTCCAAATAATGGAAATTTACCAGCTTTCGTTGAAAACGTGGGAACAGACGACGCTGACAAATCTAATGGAGTGAAAAAAGAAATAGAGCGAATATATAATATCGACAGCGCAGGAGGAGGAAATGAATTAAACTCAACTTCATTACAATTGACACATTTGCCGGCATCGGCATTTCCATTGTCGCTGAGTGAGAAAAGTGAAATGAATAGTCGTGCGGGTCACTCTGGTGAGGCGTGTTCGGAGTACATGCAGCCTCTGTGTAAAAAGCCGGGCATGGACGAGATTGCTGTGACTTTACCACACCGTGCCACTGAGGAGGCAGCAGTAGAATCCGAAGCATCGGACGCCAACAAAGTTAACCTGGCCTTCTTGTATAGTAGCATTGACGAAGACCCTCGGGCATACCTTTACGCCTCACCGACAGGTAGTGCCACTCCAAGCATGGGAAAAAGGCATTGCCGTTCTGCACCCATGGGGTTGGGGACGACTTCCTTGGTTGCGGAAGATCAGCAAGAAGACAGCGCTTCTTTTTCCCATTGTTGTGATGATGCCAACCGCGTGCAAGAAGCGCGTCTGACACTCAAACATGGAGCGAAGCCCAACTTAAAGGAACCTGACGACATCTTGCTTCGTCAGCGACAAATGGATTCAGTGAAAGAGCAGAAGTCTGTTGGTTCTCGTCTATTTCGCCCTTGTAATAGTGACGCTGCGAATTATCTTGTTACACAGGAAACGGAGATTGTGGATGCCTCAGGTACCGTATGGGTTGCAAAGTTAGCGGCAAGAAAGGAATAACCTTGTGAAAACAGAAAAATCCAATCATGAATGCCGTCATAATCATTCGTTTCTTTTTTTTGTGTTTTCCCTTTTTTAAATAAGAGAGGTTATTTATGCATTTTGGGAGAAAAAAGCGACTACGGAACTGCATCCGTATTTTGGTAGAGTTTTCACTTCCTTCTTGTTGCGTAAAAAAAGAATAAAACAAAATAAAGACCGAAGTTTTTTTTGCCTCAGTACGAGCTGTACTCCACTCTTTGTTTCCCCCCACGAAGAAGACAAATGAGTTTGTGGGCCTAAATTTAACAAAATGCCGATTGAAAAAAGTACTCACGGCGATGTCACGGTTTAAATGGCACTCTCCACTTTTGTCAATTTGCCCATCCTTTGACTGTTTGCCTTTTCCATTTTTCATTTTTATTTTTACTTTCAAAATAAGCTGCAAGTAGAAAAATATATATATATATTTATATATTTATATATATATTTAAACGAAGCACAGAAAAAAAAAATTCTGCTTGTCATATTGAGTGAAAGAATTGTTTTCTGTCCTCTGCATAACTCAGTATAACTGAAGAATTCTCCACCATGGTATCATCAGCCAAGTTAGGCGAGTATTTTTTGGGGAAAAAGATTGGCTCCGGAAATTTTTCCACTGTTCGGCAGTGCACGGATGCAAAGGGCCGGAAATGGGCGGTAAAGATCATCGATAAGGGCCGCCTACGGCAGGAAAATATGGAGGATCAGATGCTGCGGGAGGTGGCTGTTATGCGGTCACTGAGGCATGAAAACATCGTTGCACTTCGCGACGTTATGGAATCCAATAACCACTACTACCTTATACTGGAGTATGTGCCGGGTGGTGAGCTGTTTGACAAGATTGTGCAGTTGAAGCGCTTGGATGAGTCAACAGCGAGGCAATACTTCCATCAGCTTATTGCTGGGATTTACTACTGCCACAGCAAGGGGTTTGCCCACCGCGACCTGAAGCCAGAGAACCTGCTACTTGATGCGAACGGAACACTTAAGATCTCTGATTTTGGTCTCAGCAACTTGCAACAGGACTTTCTGCTTCAAACAGTGTGCGGAACACCCAACTATGTTGCACCGGAGGTTTTGATGGAGCGGGGCTACAATGGACTCTCGGCGGACATATGGAGCTGTGGCGTCGTGCTGTACGTGATGGTTGCCGGACGTCTGCCATTTGAGGACCGCAATATGAACGCACTGCTTGCAAAGATTGAACGCGGTGAGTACCAGATGGTGAGGCACGTTTCAGAGGCTGTAAAGGACCTGATTGCACGGATGCTGACGGTGGACCCGAAGAAACGCATCACATTAGAGGGTATCATCGCTCATCCATGGTTTGCCTTGGGGTGGGATCCACAGCGTCTCCACGAAGCTGCAGAGACGAATTGGGCGTAAGAAAATGTATTATTACAATTTTTCGGAGTGTAGGGGAGAATTTGGGAGTCACATGAGCGCCCGAACAGGAGACTGTCGGGATATGCTGAATTCGAGACGTGTACTTCCATGGTTAGTGAGGGTAATATGCACACACATTTATATGGGTTTTTATATTCATATACATGTATTGTTTTGCCGAATTTACAGATGTGGTCTTTGTTTTATAAACGTGAAAGGGATCGGCTTTCGGAAAAATAGGGATATGTTCTTCAAACCATGGCAAAGTTTTCTCTGTGATATGCTCATACTATAATTTTTTTTTTTGTTCTTTTCTTTTTTTCTTTTTTTTTTTGCGTGTGTGTGTGTTGAGATGTGCACTTTTTTTTGTTTGTCTTCTTTTCCATTGTTCCACTTTTGTGCCAAAATTTTTTGCGGAACTCCTCTGGCTTATTATTATTATTATTTGTGTGTGTGTGCAGTGCTACGAATTATATCATATGATTATATGTGAATAAACTTATTTTTGGGCGGCGAAAGGAATTGTTCCGCGAAGAGTATCTTTACAGCACCCCTCTTTGCTTCTGCGTGCGCAAATGCTCCCTTTTCCCTTACATGTCGATGTGTGTTTCCTCTGCAACCTTTCATTCTGTTTGTCTCAAGAATTGCCTGCGAGGTTAATTCCTTACTGCTTGCACCTGCAGGTTGTGTGCTTGAGGAGCGATAAAAGTATGAAGGATATGTTTGGAGTGCCCAAGAACAATTTGCTACGATTGGCTGTGTGAAGTACGCCGCTGTCGTCACAGAAAGCAATTTTCCTGCAGTTTTGAGCGCCGAACTGCGCCATGGAAGGTGTGATGCGCCTGATTTTTATTAATTGTGTATCCACCTGCTTGCAGTTACGGCGGGCGACTGAAGTGACCCCAACGCGCAAGTGACGAATGGCCTCAAAGGAAATGGGTGGGGACCATCCACGATCTTGTTGTGACTTTTTCTTGGGAACTTGCGAAAAGAATTTCCGCGAGAAGGCTGACCAATTAAATGAATATGTTCTGACAAGACGAAGTTATTTCTGTACGATTCCTTCCTAACTTATGGTCCATTGGAAGACCGCGTTTGAAGGAGCCAAACAGCCGATAGCGGTAAGAAGAATGTTTTTCTTGTATTTTCGCCATTTCACTCACCCTCTTTTGATTCCCACCTCGCGGCGGTTTCTTGTGGCCGGAGATCCCCGATGTCTGCCATTTCGTAAGGAGTAAATGTCTCCAATTTGAATAGACCGCAACATGTCACGGCAGTGGCCTTCCGAATGTATATAATTGGAGAACATATCGAGGACGTGGCGAGGCCACTGGCTCTCTATTGCTTTTCTTTTTTCCGTCCTATTTTGTTTATAGAGGTAAGTTCAGGATTGGGCCAGCAGCCCGGGCGGTTATCTTTTTATTTTTATTGCTGTTGTTTGCTTTTATCATTTTTCTACTTTTTTATTTGTTTCCACACAACCTGCTACGCCCTTCATGTGGGACGGATTTTGGATGTTCACGTCTCTGCGGGACAGGCGGCGGGTTGGTGGTGAGTTCACACGGTGCCCTTTTGTGTGGAACTCGTCTTTTTTTGTTTTCAGATTAATACTTGAGTTTATGCGTTTGCTTTTCAAGTGGTTGATTTGCTTTCAGTTTGAGCTTTATTTATTATTATTATTGGCTCTGCAATCTGATTTCTTGTTGCTTCTGTCGCCCTTCTATTAAATCCTTCTCTTTTATGGGCTCGTCACTGCGATTTCTGCCCCTTAGAAAATAAATGAAGAGGAATGCGCCTTAATTTTTTATCTCATCTTATTTTCTTTTCTGTTTTTTTTTTTTTTTTGTGTGTGTTTTTATGCGTGGTGTTTGTATGGGATTAGTGTTTACTGTTACACGTGACTCCCCCTTTGCCATAACCAGTTGTTTTTTTATGTATTCCTCTTTGGCCTCGACGGGGGAATGGCCTGATCTGTCGCGTGGCGCCCAGCCATCACTTGAACCATTTGCGAAACTCAGATTGTGGATCTTTCAGATCATCTGTCGTGCCTATGAACTTGGACGTGATGGAGCGCGGCGACATTCGGAGGAGGGAATGTGCCGTCAACTTGCACCGACGGTGTTGTTCCGGGTATGCTTGACAGAGAAAGAAAGCGATGGAGTCAAGGGGACGTATTCATCAAGGGAAGAGCTGTTGCGATGCCCTGAGGCCCTTGTCAAATTAATGCATTCCCCAACAGGGCCATCAGATGTTGACGGGATGATTTATGGTGTTGTGAATTGCGCTTGCCAGTACCTTCAGGACGCGTGTGCTTTCTTGGAATTGTCAATGCAAGGAGAGGCCAGAGGTGTCAGTGGTGGTGTTAGTGGCATGCATCGAAAGCGAGGAGTTCTCAATTCTCCGGTGTCGAATGATGAGGTCGATGGTGGTTTTCCGTACTCCTCTTCTAGTGGCGTAGATGTTTCTGGACGCGCCGAACATTTTGGGGTTCGTAGGCATTCAACACCTTCGGAAAACGTATTACATTTCCAGTCGGCTCATGTCCCCGTGTATAGCAGTGAAGACGGCACATGTGCCATCACGGGTGACCCTGCTCGCCGTAACGGTGTTTGTATGGACGAATGCGCCGTTTCAAACCTTCAAGAAGCCCGGATGATGCTCCAGACTATCGTGGGGACAGCGTTTTCGTGTCCAAGTGAGCCTCTTGCCAAAGCTTTTCAGTTGGTTATTGCGAGGGAATTGGGACTATCGTTACGTCCTTTTGAGGCATGTTGTGGATTGTTGAAGTTTCTTTCTTTTCTTGATCCTACGCTAAGAGTGGCGAATGAGGAGAGAATACAGGGTGAAAAGATCGGTTACCTTTACTACTTGAATGGTGTGCAGACGTCAGCAAGTTTGACAGATGCGCTATTTTCTTCTTCGGAGGCTACAGATAGCATACAGTGGTTTACGGCACCCTCTCCCGCGGCGGTACTTCCAAATTTGACGCGGTCGTTGACTGGGAGTTTGCTGGAGGTGATGGAGGAGTTGCAGCAAGCAACAGATGGGATAGCAGCAGCAGAGGCGTTGGCGACAACGTCCTTGTCGGCCAATCCTACAATGTCTGTGGCCATACCGTCCTTCAGCCGCCGACGAGGCGGTGGCTGCTCGAACAATCGGATAATCCGAAGCACTGGTGCGGAGAAGGAGCTGTTAAATGCAGAGTGGGGGAAGGCGGGATATGCATCGAGGCAAACAGTATGGGATGCATTGTGTCGTTGTAGCCTTACTATTCCAAAGTCCGTACTCAGTGACAGATCTGACTTGTTGTACCGGATATTTTTCAAAATGGGTGAAGTTCCACAGTACTACCAAATTCTCTCTATATACCCAGAGGTTTTGCGGGCACATCATGCCACATTTCAATACATATTTTTTGAAGAAGGCCCGCTTCCTATTTGCGAACGATTGATGATAGCTTTGATGGCAGCCAGTCGTCAAAAATGTGAGTATCTTTTTTCTCGCTTTGCCGCTCTCTTACTGCATTTTGAGGAAAAGCAGCCATCTAGTGATGTGGTTGCGGAAAATTGGCTATTGCAAGGACCACCACCAAAGTTGCAGGCACTTCAACGTTTTATAGCTATTGCCACTCATGTTCCATGGCAAATGAAACTGAATGACATCCGTGGTGCCATGAACGCTGGATGGAGCATACCTGGTCTTATACAGGCATCCTGCATCGTGGCAGAAACGCTCTCATTATGTAGTTTTGTCATGGGACTTTTTGTGTCGAACGATATGTGGGTATCAATAACACTTCCAACCTCACTTTCTGCGGTTCTTTCTTCTTGTCCGGTACTTGGTGAAGTGATTGATCATCAAAGCTGTGTGGATTTTACGCGGTACACTGGCATTGACAATATCGTGAGTGAGAATCGTGTCAAGGGCTCATCCAGCAACGTATTTACGCTCTCCTGCGGGAAATTTAACTGGCACGAACACGGCGGCACCCTTATGGAGCAATATTATCCAGGTGCTGCTACACTTATTAACAATGAACTTGACGCATTCTCGGCGGTTGCCCGGAAGTTAACTCACCTGGATTGCGTTGGCCTTACGACGCCGGATTACTCTCCCTCGAATGCATTTTGGTTTTTGCGACTATACGTTCAGAACATCATGGGACTTATGCCGGATGACTATCCGTACAACAGTATCAATAAAGTTTTGCGACGCCCAGCCAAGTTGATTGCTCAGAGCTGTACGATGCGCCCCGAAACATTGTCAAGCTCTCAAATGCGTTTGTGGGTTCAGATGAGTAGTGATTCTGCTGCGGCGCCTGGTGATTTGCATTCCGCAAAAAATTTTTCAACAGAGAAGCTCGAGGAACACCAACACCTGGAGGTGGACATGACGGAACAGAAAAGGCAGCTTATCGAGTCCCTTACCGCACATAAAGCGCCGTTTACTTTAAGCATGCCGGGAACTGAGGCCGGGCGCCGTCCCCAACCCCGGGAGGATGTCTTGGAAGCAGCACTAGGTCTTCACGAAGAGCGGCTTATATTTCTTGTTGTGTTGGCCACAATGGAGGCGCGGAAAGAGGGACTATTCGCTCTCTTGTTGTATCCGATGTGGGGACTACTCAACAACATGTAGCGGGTGGGTGTAGGTGTGGATAAATAAGATGCGAGGAACGCGGGAAGCGCAAGAAGGATTATAATTTTTTTTTCCTTTTTGCCTCACCGAAGGGATGAGGAAGAAGCAAACAGAATAAAAAAAACACAAAAAACACACACAAAAAAAACGTAGGTGAGAAGAAGTTGTGTAACAACACGGCGAGGGCATAAAACTGGGTCTCCACCCACACATATCGCAGCGATCCTGGTAGCAGTGGTATTATTATTATTAGTAGTGGTAGAGGCAGAAGTAGGACGCGCAAGGAGTGAAGAGGATGGAAAAAGCAGTCTTTCTAGCGAAGCCGTTTGGGGGGTTTCTCACGATATCTCCACCGTGATACGTGAGATATTGGAGAGGAGGTGGGGGTGGGTGGACATGTGCGGTGTGCGACGTGTTTCTATTTTTTTTTTATTTCTATACCTAGGCAACATGACATGTCTTTCGGCCGTTGTTTTCTCTTTTTTTTTTTTCTTCATTTGTATATATATATATATTTTGCATGGCGTGTTGCTGAGCGTTTGCTCTCAGAACTTTGCTGCAGGACGCTGTATCTGTGGGTTTGATATTTCTTTTGCTTGCTGTTGTCGTCGTTTTTGGTGTGCGTGAGGCGTTGTTTCATATTTGATTTTGTGCCTTTCTCTTGTGTGTGTGTGTGTGTGTTTTCATTTCCGCGATGCAAGTAAATTTGAGCCGATACGGGTAGCGGAATGAATGAAAACAACAAAAAAGAAAACAAACAAGACGGGAGGAAACAACCAACAAAAATAAAAACAAAAGCTTTCTTTTTTCCCTCATTTTCATATATATATATATACATGTAGCCACAAGCTGTTCTTAGCACGTTTTTTTAGCTCACTTTCTTTCCGGTACTTTTATATGAACGTGCATGAACGTGTTTGCCTGTTTCTCTCTGCGTTTGTATGCAGGTGACTCCTATTGCGTTATTTTTTGTTGTTTTTCTTTGTTCCTTTTTCTTCTTACCACCCCCTTGTTGTGCGCCGGAGAGAAAGTGACCGTACCCTCAGCCACGTCTCAAGGCAGAGACGGTGCGGCTCTTCAGCAGTTAGGGAATTTGCGAGGTAGACCGAGAAGCAGAGCGAGCGCAGAGGTGGCGTGATCGACGGGTTGTGCCGGAGAACTCCTGACGAAGGGTACTTAGGGAGGGGTTTAAAGACGAAAAGGAAAGAGTCATAAATAGAACAACCAGAGCGAACAGCGAGAAGTCCCACACACGCGTACACAAAGGGAAAAAAGGGGAGGAGCGAAAGAAAAAGATAGGACGCAGCACAGAAGCGGAAACTGACGAGTGGCAGGAAAGTGCTTAGGCGGCCTTACGGATATTCGTCGCCTTCTCTCTCCTATTTTAACACCGCCCGAATTCTCTGTTTCTAAAGGAAGCGCGCGTCTTTTTCCGGTCGTCGTTTTGGAATTGGAGAAAGGATTCAGGAGACAAGTGAAAAAAAAAAAAAGAAGGAGCGACTAGACGCTAAGGACAGAGCAGAATAATTGCGGGGACGAGCAGCAGCAGAGGCGGGTTACCTTTTTTTTTTTTTTCACTTGTCGAGTGCAGAAAGAGGGGGAGACAGAAAAGATAATAAAAAAAGGGAAAGAGGGGCCGAAGACGGAGGGGGAAGGAGGGGAAGGGAAATAAAATAAGAGGAACTTGTTGACTGTTGACTGTCATGATCGACGAAATTGTGAACGATGGCGAGGAGGACTTTATCTTCAACGAGTATGCCATTGATGACACGCTTGACCCGTTGAGCCGCCTGTTAAATTATCATTCTTCGGGGTTCTCGCTTCAGCGGGAATTCCTTTTACGTGAAATTGTCGACACTGTGAAGTTTGCCGGCTTTGATCAAAGTGTAAAGATGATTGTCCCCTTACTAGTCGGGTTCGCTTCCGACTGTGAGCCTTTGGTGCGACGAATGCTAGTGCAGCAGCTTCCAGAAATGGCCAGGTATTTTCTGGAGCAAGGTGGCGATGCCGGGTACGAATATCTGTTGAGTCGCTTCCTCCCCATTGGATTTGAACTTCTCATAGACAAAAATGTGGAAGTTGGCGCCTCGGCCTTTGCGTCGTTAAAAGAGCTTGCGGAGCTAGTCAAACCAGAGCATGTTCAGAATCACCTGCTTAGTGTTGTTGTTATGCTGGCTCATGATGAACGGGCTGAGGACTATCGTGTGGTGGCGGCTCGCCTTTTTAATGGATTGGCTGCAATTTTCGGCAAAAACTGCTGCGTAAATGATGTACTGCCTGAACTGGAACTCCTTGCGAACGACAGCAATTTTTCTGTCCGTAAAGCAGTTGGAGCGAACTTGGGTGAGATCAGCAAGGTAGTAGAGGAGAATACGGCGGAGAACGTTGTGCTTCCTATATTTTTGAACTTATGCGAGGACGAAATTTGGGGAGTTCGTAAGGTGTGTATCACAAGCGCTGAGGGCATTGCGCTTGCTGTTACCCCTGAGACACGGGTTGCGAAGCTTTTGCCGGCATACCTCCTCCTTCTTCAGGATTCATCGCAGTGGGTGCGGAATGGTGCCCATGACTCTCTTGGAAATTTTTTGCATACACTTCGACCCTCAGATTTGAGTCCAGCCTTACTGAAATTATATACAGACATGGCGTTCCAGTCGGAAAATGGCGATACGGTTTACAGTGAGCCATGTGCGTTTGCACTGCCTGCAGTGGTGAAGGTGGCAGGAAAGGAGCGGTGGAACGAAGTGGCGGACGCGTATGCCACACTTCTCAAAGACGTAAAGTGGAAGGTTCGCAGATCGCTGGCGTATTCGCTCCATGAAATTGCCCTCATTTTAGGTCAAGAAATCACTGAATCGGACCTTGTCGTCGCCTTTGAGTTGCTTCTAAGAGACTTGGACGAGGTGCGGCTTGGGGTTGTACTACACGCCGATGTTTTTCTTGGCGTTGTGGGACAGGCAACGCGGGAGCGGCTCATACCCTTGCTTTGTCATGCTCCTTTAGAAAGTGAGAATTGGCGAATTCTTAATGTCGTGGCGCAGCGCATCGGGGATGTTGGTGTACTTCTTGACCCGGTTAATAGCACTGCCCTGAATGTTATCATCAACCTAGTGGTCCGTCTCCTGAACGATGGCGTGATGGAGGTGCGCCGGTCAACGTACCGCTCAGCTGCGATGTTGCTGCAGCATCTTGCGAGTGTGGGAAAAGAAAATTCGTGCGGCGGGTACGTACAAACGTTAGTGCATATTGCCAATCTCCACAGCTTTCGGGAACGCCTGATGTTCCCGTACATTGCCGAGGAGGTGGCGAAGCTGGGTGCAACTTCTTTGGTGGAGCGGTACTTTATGGATGGTCTGCTGAAGTTAGCGAATGATGCTGTGGGCAACGTGCGGCTTGCCGTCGACTCCGTGTTGACGCGTACGTTCCTGGTCGATCCATACTGGTCGACGAACCAAAAAATCGCTCAGGTCCAAAAATTACTTCAAGAAAAAAATTGCGACGGCTGAAAACTGCCTCTCCCAATTCCCCCTCCCTAAGCCCTTGGAAAAGATGGAAAAAAAGAATCTCTCGGGGGGGCGATTCCCACAATGCGGCGAGAGGAATAAAAAGGAAGGCATACCCACACAAAGGCAACAACAACAACAAAAGGAATGAGGGAATGAGAGAACTTTGCCGTGATAGGTGCGCCAACATGTTAGAATACAAATAATTAATGAAGAGACGGAGAGGAGTGGGGAAAGAATGACAAGGAGGACTCGGAAATTCGTTGCTTCAGTGCGGCGGCAGAGCGAGGGGGTGCCGAGTTGGTTATTATTATTACTTTTATTATTATTTATGCACGGACAACCATCATGTATTGCCGAGGGAGGTGGGAAAAATTTGGCGATGAAGAAAAGGAGCAATCAGAAAGATGGAGGGATGAGAAATCCGCAATGTAGTCAGTTTATATATTTATTGTTCTTTTCTTCACAAATCGCAGTTGTCTCTTTTTATAGTGCCGTGCGGTTTGTTAGGGTTGCTGAAGAACTGGTGGTGGTGGGAGGCGGGCGACACATGTGGCTTGTTGTTGGCTTGCCGGATAGGGGATCGAGCCATTCCCTGTCTCCCTCGCAGGAGATTATGGGGTGGCGGCGAGGAGAGGAGCTTGACGGACAGATGAAAACGCAAAAAAATAAAAAATAAAAAATAAAGAAAGGAAAAAAGGAAAAAAGTCACCGACTTTCCCTAGTAGTTTTGCTCTCACGTTTGTGTTGAGCGCGATGTCACCGGCTGCATCAATTTCGATATAATTTACTTTTGTAATTTCCTTTGTTGTCCGGCTTGTTATGACTTTTTTTTCTCCGCTTTTGTTTCTTTCCCCTCTTTAGTTCGTCACGTGTGACTGTGTGTATGTTTTTCGGTCACCGTCTCGACAGATTCCATCCGGGGGTTACTCAACGGGGGGACGGGGATGTAAAGTTGGAGTTTTGCCCCTCCAAAAAAAAAGAAAAAAAAAGAGAATAACGGTGAAAAGAGAAGAAATTTCTTTTTTTTTACCGTGGGCGGATGTCGCTATTGCCATTCATGGACACACGGGGATTGCAGTGACGTGAGGAGCCTTTTAGCGTATCTCCCTGTCACTCTTTTACCCTAACTTCTTTGGTTTGTTATTTATTCTTGTATGTACGCATTGCGTGTGTTTGTGTGTGTGTGTGTATTTGTGGCTCGTAGCGTTAAACAATAAAGTAAGGTGCGAGATCTGTGTTTTTCTCTGTGTAAATTCTTTTTTTTTCTTTTTTGCTTCCCTTACTTCATATATAAACATATATAATTTTGCGTGTGTGTGTGCGAGTGCGTAATTGTGCTTTGTTTCAAATAAATATATTGTTTTATTTCCCCGTTTAGTTTGGCAAATTGACTGTGCTCCTTTACGTGTGAATTCCACACAATTTTTTTTCTTTGTGTGTGTGTGCTGGCAATTGCATGTGAGGGGAACAACAACAAAAAAAAGCAACAACTAA